CACTAGGGGGGGAGTGATCTGTAGCTGTAAATAATTCCCCAAAATCAATAGCTCATTAAGTGTTCGACATTGGATGCTGACCACGTTGTTTAAGTGGACTTGTTTAGCTGAAGGCTTTCGGTCATGCATCCGCACCAGATCACGTTTCAATACTGCGTGGGACACAGCTCCTACGTTTCATTAGCCAGCTCATAGAAAAGGTCCTCGATATATTGGTAACGAATCAAATATATCTTTCCTGCCTCTTCTCGTTTGACTTCTGATTTTCTATCTGACTGGTAACAACCGAATTTAGAAGGTGCTACTGGTATCTAGTTGTAAAACTAGAATATCCGTTGCATCATCAACCCACTCACACGTGCATACACCCCCATGCAAGTTGACCAAATCACCAACACTATCAACAGTTCCGTCATTCTCATTCTCATATCATTATTATCATTATTAAGCACTATCAGTCCGGTTATTCTAATCACAGTGTAATGGATGAAGATGATGATGACAATGATGACGACCACCTTGATTGTGACGATCAATATCATGCTCATTGTCACTAATCTCATGGTCACCAATATTGATTGCGATCTTGAATATTGGTGTTGATGATATGTGTACTTATTGTATGATCAGTATTGTCGGTGGTAAGACTGGTAGAGAAGAGTTGTGTTGTGTTGTGTTGTGTTGTGTTGGTTATGGTTGACACGAAATCGCAGGTCTGAGAATAACAAGTCAACTGGAGTGGTAGCAATGCAGAGTGAATAGTTGTGGAGTGCGAGAATGGGTGTGTGTGTGTGTGTTTGCACATGTGACTAGTGGTGGATAGGATGGGAGAGGTTTGAGTGGAGCACGAGAAATGATGAGGGGAATCGGTGTTCCGAGAGGTTAGCAACACCGACAGAAATGTGAGGAAGTCAGTACTGGAAGAAGGAAGGTGAGTGTTACGGGATGTGAGTGAAGCACCGATTGATGGCGTTGAACATCGCACTTACTGTATGCTTTGTCCGTAAATATATTCCACATTGACGGTTGCCACGTTTGCCACTGTCACCTACTGATCACTGATCACTGATCACTGAGTCATTCGAGCACATCGATCCAGTAGATTTGTATGTACACACTGAATGAAACCATTGTGTAAGGGAGGTGATAGTTAACACTGGAAACCATCGACATGTAGTAATAGTCAACTGTAGCACGTTCTCTCACTCACTGCACAGATAGTCGGTGTGGGTCGGATTGGACGTGATTGGTTGGATGTATGTGTTGAGTGGGTGTGAGGCTGGCAAGCTGGCTATCTGTAAATGTGAAGATAGAGGATTAGTGGTTGGGTGTGATGTGTGTGACGTGTGTGACAGGTTGGTTGGTTGGTTGGTTGGTTGATTGATTGATTGATTGATTGATATATTTAATGTGTATTGGATGTTGGTGAAGTAGTAAATTTGGTGTGTGTGATTAATAAATGTGGTAGTGAGAGTGTATGTTGTTGTTGTTGTAGAGTAAGTGTGGTATTGGGTTGTGGATAATGCATGTTGTTGCGGATGAACGGCTCGTTGGTCTAGGGGTATGATACTCGCTTAGGGTGCGAGTGGTCCCGGGTTCCAATCCCGGACGAGCCCAAAACCTTTCAACACATCCAACACCCAAGACACAACAATCACTTCAACAGCGCTCGAATTATATCTCGTCAACTATCTCAGAATGTGCGAGGTTGTGTGTGCGTGCGCGCGCTCACCCACTCACACGTGCATACACCCCCATGCAAGTTGACCAAATCACCAACACTATCAACAGTTCCGTCATTCTCATTCTCATATCATTATTATCATTATTAAGCACTATCAGTCCGGTTATTCTAATCACAGTGTAATGGATGAAGATGATGATGACAATGATGACGACCACCTTGATTGTGACGATCAATATCACGCTCATTGTCACTAATCTCATGGTCACCAATATTGATTGCGATCTTGAATATTGGTGTTGATGATATGTGTACTTATTGTATGATCAGTATTGTCGGTGGTAAGACTGGTAGAGAAGAGTTGTGTTGTGTTGTGTTGTGTTGTGTTGTGTTGTGTTGGTTATGGTTGACACGAAATCGCAGGTCTGAGAATAACAAGTCAACTGGAGTGGTAGCAATGCAGAGTGAATAGTTGTGGAGTGCGAGAATGGGTGTGTGTGTGTGTGTTTGCACATGTGACTAGTGGTGGATAGGATGGGAGAGGTTTGAGTGAAGCACGAGAAATGATGAGGGGAATCGGTGTTCCGAGAGGTTAGCAACACCGACAGAAATGTGAGGAAGTCAGTACTGGAAGAAGGAAGGTGAGTGTTACGGGATGTGAGTGAAGCACCGATTGATGGCGTTGAACATCGCACTTACTGTATGCTTTGTCCGTAAATATATTCCACATTGACGGTTGCCACGTTTGCCACTGTCACCTACTGATCACTGATCACTGAGTCATTCGAGCACATCGATCCAGTAGATTTGTATGTACACACTGAATGAAACCATTGTGTAAGGGAGGTGATAGTTAACACTGGAAACCATCGACATGTAGTAATAGTCAACTGTAGCACGTTCTCTCACTCACTGCACAGATAGTCGGTGTGGGTCGGATTGGACGTGATTGGTTGGATGTATGTGTTGAGTGGGTGTGAGGCTGGCAAGCTGGCTATCTGTAAATGTGAAGATAGAGGATTAGTGGTTGGGTGTGACGTGTGTGACTGGTTGGTTGGTTGGTTGGTTGATTGATTGATTGATTGATTGATATATTTAATGTGTATTGGATGTTGGTGAAGTAGTAAATTTGGTGTGTGTGATTAATAAATGTGGTAGTGAGAGTGTATGTTGTTGTTGTTGTTGTAGACTAAGTGTGGTATTGGGTTGTGGATAATGCATGTTGTTGCGGATGAACGGCTCGTTGGTCTAGGGGTATGATACTCGCTTAGGGTGCGAGTGGTCCCGGGTTCCAATCCCGGACGAGCCCAAAACCTTTCAACACATCCAACACCCAAGACACAACAATCACATCAACAGCGCTCGAATTATATCTCGTCAACTATCTCAGAATGTGCGAGATTGTGTGTGCGTGCGCGCGCTCACCCACTCACACGTGCATACACCCCCATGCAAGTTGACCAAATCACCAACACTATCAACAGTTCCGTCATTCTCATTTTCATATCATTATTATCATTATTAAGCACTATCAGTCCGGTTATTCTAATCACAGTGTAATGGATGAAGATGATGATGACAATGATGACGACCACCTTGACACTGACGATCAATATCATGCTCATTGTCACTAATCTCATGGTCACCAATATTGATTGCGATCTTGAATATTGGTGTTGATGATATGTGTACTTATTGTATGATCAGTATTGTCGGTGGTAAGACTGGTAGAGAAGAGTTGTGTTGTGTTGTGTTGTGTTGTGTTGTGTTGTGTTGTGTTGGTTATGGTTGACACGAAATCGCAGGTCTGAGAATAACAAGTCAACTGGAGTGGTAGCAATGCAGAGTGAATAGTTGTGGAGTGCGAGAATGGGTGTGTGTGTGTGTGTTTGCACATGTGACTAGTGGTGGATAGGATGGGAGAGGTTTGAGTGGAGCACGAGAAATGATGAGGGGAATCGGTGTTCCGAGAGGTTAGCAACACCGACAGAAATGTGAGGAAGTCAGCACTGGAAGAAGGAAGGTGAGTGTTACGGGATGTGAGTGAAGCACCGATTGATGGCGTTGAACATCGCACTTACTGTATGCTTTGTCCGTAAATATATTCCACATTGACGGTTCCCACGTGAGTGGTTTCGGATTTGAATCGCGGTCGTTCACAAGTCTTTTTGATACTTTGAACACTGAAGTACCACGTTCACTATGATAACATCATGTTATTCAATATATTCTTTATGTTCTAATCGTTTATTTTACATAAATATAATTTTATACAAACGATCGTTTTGTTTGTGAACGTATCTGAGCAATGAAGTAGAACTCGACCTTGATTCAGTATTTACGAAGGCTTCATTTACTTCTCTTTACTGCTTCTTTCTAAAAATGTAATCATAGATATGTTTATTTAGATATTGGTTGATAAAATATAATAATAATGTAAAAAAAAATTGAATAATTCATTAATTATCTACTATGGTATATGCTACTCATTCTGACGAATATAAGTAGTATATAACACTGATTGAAAATTTAAATGTTTGCCAGTAGAATACGGAATTGAAGTGAACATACAGAGAAAAAAAAAGCAAGATTCTCAAACACAACACGAAGAATATCAATCCAGTCATAGTTGATAATGAAACTCTTGAAGAGGTAGTAACATTCACGTACCTGGGAAAGCTTATTGATGAACAAGGAGAATCTGATGTAGATGTAAAGGCAAGGATTAGCAATTGAAAGACAGTATTCTTACAATTGAAGTATATATAGGATTCAAAACAATTGTCAACTAATTTCATAGTGAGAATTTTCAATACGAATGTCAAGACAGTCCAACTGTAAGGAGCTGAGACATGGAGAACAACCACAATCATCGTCAAGAAAGTACAAGTATTTATAAATAATTGTCTATACAAAATACTTAACATTCACTAGCCGAATACTATCAGCAACAGCCTTTTGTGGGAGAGGACAAACCAGCCTCTAGCTGAAAAGAAAATTCGGGAAAGATACTGGGAGTGCATAAGGCACACATTGAGGAAATCATCAAACTGTATCACGAGACAAATACTAAATCAGAATCATGAAGATAAACGGAAATGAGGAAGACAAAATAACACACTACATCTGAAATTGTAAGCAGACATGAAAAGGATCAATAGCAATTGGAATGAAGTGGAAAGGATTGTCGAGGACAGAGTTGGACGGAGAATGTTCAATGGTGACCTACGTTCCTTCACGAGGGGTAACAGGTGTAAGTAAACAAGTGAGTAAGTAATGCTATTTGTGAACTACATCTTTCTATGAACTATAGCCAATGTTTCAAACAGATGATGAATATGTCGTGCGTCAGTCCATTCTCTGTATAGATTCGAAGTGGTGATATTACCTATAAAAATGGAAAATATTTGTATAGATTACAAATTATTCATCATATATATCTTTTTAACATGTATTGTGTATGTTGATACCACGAAGACAGTGATCCTGTTCTTAGGAGTAAGGTTTTTAGGTAAATTCGATAATTTGATTATTGAGGTCATGCAGCAGTAGGTCTCAATATACACAAAAGGAAAAGCGAAATTCCCCAATACAACACAGCATGTACTAATCGAATCAGACCTGACGGATAAGCTTTGGAGGATGTGGAAACCTTTACATATCTGGGCAGCATCCTTGGTGAACACGGTGAATCTGATGCAGATGTGAGAGCGAGGATCGGCAAAGCAAGAGCAGCATATTTACAACTGAAAAACATCTGCAATTCAAAACAATTTTCAACCAACACTAAGATCATAATTTTCAATACAAATGTCAAGACACTTCCACTGTATGATGGGGAAACCTGAAGAACTACGAAAGCCATCATCCAGAAGATACAAGTTTTTATTAACAGTTGTCTACTCAAAATACTTCTGATCCGTTGGCCAGACACCATTAGCAACATTCTACTGTGGGAGAGAACAAACCAGATTCCATCCAGTGGAGGAAGAAATCAGTAAAAAGTGCTGGAAGTGGATAAAACACACATTGAGGAAAGTACCCGACTACAAGCCCTCACTTGGAATCCGCAAGGCCAAATGAGAAGAAGAATATCAAAGAAGACATAACACCAAGAAATGGAATCACACATGAAAAGAATGAACAAAAGTTGGATAAAGCTGAGGACAGAGTGATTTGGAGAATACTGATCTATAGCTTATGCTCCATTGGGAGTAACAGGCGTCAGTAAGTAATTACATAATCATTTTCATCTATTTACTTGTTTGAAAGAGATATGGGCAAGAGTTTGTTAAATTATTCACTATTGACTATTTCACATTGATAACTTCCCCCCCCCCTTATATTTCTAATTCAATTTATCTTCATCTATCTATTGTATTCATATGAGATACAACGAATTAAATTGATACCTAATGCTTAAATTCAGTTGGTATTGTTTATTTGAATCTTCCCATTGATGTTTAGGATTACAATTGATCAATCATAAATGCATACTGTCCGTATTGCCTCGATATTAGCCTTAATTCATAAGCATTATAAACAAAGATGAATAGTAAGTAGCAGTGGAATCCATGACAAGCGTTTCATCCTATTTAGGACTAATCAGTTGGATGTACCTACATCCCAGAGTTAATGTTCACTCTGGGACTCGAACCCAGTGCCCAATGTGCTTTATCCACTTATCTACTGAGTCCTGATAGCCACTTTCTTGTGTAATAGGGTGAAGTTTAAATTCACTTGGTATGGTTTTATTTGAATCTTCCCATTGATGTTTAGGACTGCAACTGGCCAGTCTCTTATTGGCCATATATTCATACTGTGTGTATTGCCTCAATATAACCTGGATTTCACTGCTAGCCACTATGCATATTTGCTTACAATGATAAATAATCTTCTTAGATTTTCGATTGTCTATCGTGTTAGTTGTTGATGTACTGTTAAAAGTATAGATACTACTACTAATACTATTACTACTACCACTACTACTACTACTACTACTACTACTACTACTACTACTACTACCACTACTACTACTACCACTACTACTACTACCACTACTACTAATACTACTACCACCACCACCACTACTACTACTACCATTACTACTACTACTACTAATACTACTACTATAACTACTACTACTACTACTACTACTATTACTACTACTACTACTACTACTACTACTGTGGTGTGGTCTACTTATATCCATATAAGTAGTATATGGTGTTGGTCAGACATAGAATGTATTTTGGCAGAAGACCGATGAGCAAAGAACTGAAATGAAACGCAAACGTCTGGAAAATGCATGAGCAATGGAATAAGAGAAGAAACAGTGAAGATTGAAACAATTGATTGTTAATTTGCAAATTCACTGTTCATTGTTTGGTAATTAGAATTTATTGAGATAGTCTGTAATCTTTGCTTAAATACATTCGATTGTCCCCAACTAGTGTTCTGTTCACTACACTACTACTACTACCACTACTACTACCACTACTACTACTACTATTACTACTACTACTACTACTACTAATACTACTACTACTACTACTACTATTACTACTACTACTACTACTCCTACTAGTACCACTACTACTACTACTATTACTACTACTACTACTACTACTACTACTACTCCTACTACTACCACTACTACTACTATTACTACTACTACTACTACTACCACTACTACCACTACTACTACTACTATTACTACTACTACTACTACTCCTACTAGTACCACTACTACTACTACTATTACTACTACTACTACTACTACTACTACTACTACTCCTACTACTACCACTACTACTACTAATACTACTACTACTACTACCACTACTACCACTACTACTACTACTATTACTACTACTACTACTACTCCTACTAGTACCACTACTACTACTACTATTACTACTACTACTACTACTACTACTACTACTACTACTACTCCTACTACTACCACTACTACTACTAATACTACTACTACTACTACCACTACTACCACTACTACTACTACTATTACTACTACTACTACTACTCCTACTAGTACCACTACTACTACTACTATTACTACTACTACTACTACTACTACTACTACTCCTACTACTACCACTACTACTACTATTACTACTACTACTACTACTACTACTACTAATACTACCACTATAACAACTACTAATACTAATAATAATGATAATGATAATAATAAACATTAAATCCAAGTGTATTATTCTATTAACAAGAATCATATATTACTTATCCGATGATAATTTAGTTTTGGTTATTTGATCATTAGATTGTTTAGATGATTTTGTTATTGATGTATTAGGTAATTGAGTTTGTTGTAATAAATCAATGGAAGTAGTACTAATTGGTCTAAAAAGTAAAAATAAAAAATTTTTTTAAAATATTTAATGAAATATGATTTTAATCAGAAGGGGATTTGTGGAGATTTCAGTATATTTCAAAGTTGAAATCATGAGTCAATTGAAGCTAGACCACCATCGAAAACCTGGAAGAACTGGACGACCGTTTCATCCTATTATGGGACTCCTCAGCAGTGCGCACCCACGATCCCGCACTCGCGAGATTCGAACCCAGGACCTACCAGTTACGAGCCAGAGCCCTTAACCGTAACTGGTAAGTCCTGGGTTCGAATCTCGCGAGTGCGGGATCGTGGGTGCGCACTGCTGGGGAGTCCCATAATAGGATGGAACGGTCGTCCAGTGCTTCCAGGTTTTCGATGGTGGTCTAGCTTCAATTGACTCACACTTTCAACTTAAAAATATGATTTATTATGGTAATATACTACTGTTTATGGATAGATATAAGTAGTATGTATCAAGGTGTTTATTTATTTATTTGAACACCTTAAATATTGATACAAAGGGAGCATCAGATATATATGCGCCAAACAAATCTCATTTGATTTGTGTAAGGGCTGTGATATTGTCCGTGATATTGCCCAGACTGAAGCAGGTGGTGTTCTTAGGTGGTCACACCTGAAGCCTTTGACCTAAAGATCTGATCCACAAGGCAGTGGAGCATTGTGAGGAGATGCAGTCCCATGGTATCCATTGACCAACGATTGATTCATACACCATTTGTTCCCTCAGGATCCTGGAGCCTATGTGTACCATTGGTTTGGAATCAGGGTTTTGCAACTCCCCTACGTGGAATTTCCTTGCCCACCAACCGTGTCAAAGCGCCGGACATTTGCATTTCGTCCTCTCAATTTCGTAAACAACAGTAATCCCACGAGAAGGCAGTTAGTAGGACTTCCATAGCAGAGGGTAAATATGTGTGGCCGTGTGAGAGCATTTCGGGAGATAGGGCCGGCCCTCTGCTCTCTCGACCGTAATAAGGCATTAGTGGGCTATGTATCAACAATTAGAAGTAAGGCTTCTAATGTTAGAAGATTAAAAAAAAATTGGACAAAAGAGAACGTGAACAGAGAATGATTGGTGTGTAAACAAAAGAAAAATGAAGTCTGAAACGATTGATTGACATTTTATCAATGAAGTGTTTACTGTATGGTTCTTAGATTTGACTAAGATGTTCTATAGTTTTAATACATTCGATTGTCCTCACTTGTGTTGTCGTTCACTACAATAGTACAATCGTTTATATTTGTTTAGTGACTAAAACTATTATTTTTTTTGTCAGAAGGGGGTTTTGTAGAGATTTTAGTATTTTAATAGTTAAATTCACAAGTCATTTGAAAATAGACCACTATGGAAAACTGGAATCACTGGACGAACATGTGCGGGATCATGGATGAGCGCTGCTGAAGAATCACATACTAGGACGAAACGGCCATTCAGTCCTTTCATTTTTATCATGGTGGGGAAATAGTAATCAGTAATAGAATAATATCTGATTATATATTCATAGTTAAACAAGAGTCTAATATTCAAATAGACTTTTGATAGGTTTAAACAATAATGACTAAACAATATTCTACATGTAAATATATCGCTTCTGTTTACTGAGTTGTTCCATTGGGTTTCAGCCATCCTAACTTCTTCAGCATTGCAAAATTTGATACCAACGGTAATACTCTTGAGGATTGAATTAATAATTGATCTTAGTTTGATAATTACTGAGAAACAGGAAGTATTAAAGAGCTGTTTAGTCGTAATATGGAACTCTTCGTCAGTATGTATCCGTAACTCCACAATGGATTAAACCTACCATCTTCAATTCTAGTTTCAAGAGTCTGACATTAAAACTATAGAGTTACTGTACAATTGTATATATGTTTAACTTCAACTAATGCAAGATATTAAGTAATCATCATCTGTTGGGATTGATGATATTTGTCTGACATCCGACACGATTGTAATGCGTTGGTTACGACATCTTTCTGGAATTACCTCTCGAACTTAGTCATTGCTAATAACATACAATATATCGTGGATTAATTGAGGTTAGACATTAACACCGTTGGATGCCGGCTCAGTCGTCTAGAGGTTAAGCATTCCAGTGCGAGACTGATAGGTCATGGGTTCGGATCCCGCTAGGCGGGATCGTGGATACCCACTGCTGAGGAGTCCCATACTAGGTCGAAACGACTGTCCAGTGCTTTCAGGTTTGCAATGGTGGTCTAACGTTCATCAATTCATGATCTCATTCAAAAACTTAACAATCTTTATAACTACAAATTGATAGATATTTATGATAAACTAATAAATAAAATAAAATATAGTCTACATTAGATAACAGTAACACAAGATTTCATACTAAACATGCTTCAATCAAAGAAACTAAACAATAAGATTCATAAAAACGAATCATATCTCTTGAAAAAAACAACAATCAAACTTATGAACAATTCCATAGAATAAAAAAGAGTTGATGTTCACTCCGGAACTCGAGTTAGTGCTTATCATGACTCAGTAAATACGTAGATGACGTGATGGCGTTTGGAGCGAACGGTGCTGGGTTAGAGTTCTGGAGTGAAAATCAACTCTGAGATGCAGGCATATCCGGCTGACGAGTCCCGAATAGGATGAAACGCGCGTCCTGGATTCCACTGCTAGCCACCATCCATCTGTCCTTAGAAAGTATTTCAACTCATCTAAACAACCAACAACTATTTACGTGATTCAGTATCCATTACTGAACATCAGTGAACATTATACAATTTGTCATATTGGACACTTTAAAGTTTTCTTTGGTTTCTCTGGCTTTCAAAGCAAAGAAAGTAACCGCGTTATTAATTACATTGTTCCGGAAGGGAAGCGGAAAAGAGGAAGGTCAAAGAAAACATTACGCCGGGAAATAGAAGCAGATATGAAAAAAAAAGAATAACAACTGGAGCGAATTGGAAAGGATTGCCTAGGACAGGGTTGGATGGAGAATGCTGGTGAGCGGCCTATGCTCCTCCATGAGAGGTAACAGGCGTAAGCAAGTAAGTAAGTTGACTTACAAAACATTATCGGTTAACCTTTTAATAGTACCCTTATCGGTCCCATATTCATTATTACCTTTCATAATGAATTGTCTATAAATGAAATTCATTGCTTTTGACTTTTTCATCAGAGGTATTCAAAATCATATCGCATTTACTAAGAGAGCATTAAGACAAATTTAATACAGTCAAAATAGTTGAGTTCATGATTTAATTTAAAATAGATCACCATGGAAAACGTGGAAGCACTAGACGACCATTTCGTCCTAATATAGGACTCTTTAGCAGTGCGCTTCCATACTACGATGAAACGCCCATCCAATGATTCCAGATTTTTTTTATGATGGTTTATCTTTGATTGACTTATGAATTCAACCACCTTTATCTGTTAACAATTAAAATAACTCAAATTCATATCAGAATTGCCACAACTAGCATACATAACATTGTATCACATTGAAAGCAATTGAGTAGTATACATCTTTCTTCTGTGCATAGTGATGATAACAACAACAACAACAACAGTAACAGTGACAACAATAAATGGTTCTACCTTAATAATTTTTTGGATTGTATAGTAGTAAATCGTCTTAAGAACAAAATAAAAAGTAAAAAAAAAAAATTAGGATCAATGAGAGTAAGATCAATGTAGAAAGTAGAAATTAAACATCTATGACCTATATATGCATACAACAAAAAGTGGCGATATTATAATTTATGGAAGAACCAATCAAGTATAAGATGACAGATCTCGGACTACTTTGTTGGGAACCGCGTAACTATTGTAACCAATGATTGGAGACTCTAAGTGACATGACTCAAAATCGATCATAACGGCATAGGTGTATACGCTCTTTATCTTCCCTTAAACATTCAGATTAAAATTGCTTCATATCTGTTTTCCTTTTATATATTACCACCACCACTAAATTAACTACTTTTATGAATTCAGTGTTCATCTTGCTGTGCTAACGAGGTATGACAACTTGGACCGATGCATATATGTCCTTGGTCCTACGTTGTAGCTGACTGACTAACTGACTGACTATAGTTAACTAATTGACAAAGCATTCAAATATATCTTCTAAAAAGTTAAACTAATTAACTTACATATCATTTACAGAGTTTCTTCCACTGGTTCTTGATGAATTCTGTACATTACCATCATTACTATCACCTATTGAATCATTTCGTGGTGAACATAATTTTGATGAACATTTGGAACTATCTGGAGATGTTAGATTAGAATCAATTGGTGTAGGTGTTGTTCTATGACTACTTGTGAAAGATTTTGTTGATGAACTTAAATTACCAGTACGTCGTTTTTGTGTTCCACCAATCATTAGATTGTTGATTGGGATACCAGAAGTAGATAACATTACACGAGCTTGTTCATATATTGTTATATCACCTTTAAGACGATTTAATAGTTCATTAGTTGCATATGTTACTAATTCTTTAGTTAATCGAGCCTATAAAGTAAATAAACATATAAAGTAAACCACAATACTTGTTTACTCCATTATATCTGATCGAATACAACGACTTAGGTCACCAAGTCAATATTTACAGCGGCGAGACGAGCTAATCAGAAGCTTTTGAAGGATTTCAAGATTGCGGCACCAATTTCAGTACCTGATGCTCTTGTACGATTGGTTCACAAAGGATTTTAGAGAAGACTTAACAATTAAATGGCTACAATAAATGGGATTACTAAGAAGTTCCTTTATTTGTAAATGCAGTAATCAAATAACTTGTAGACTTTGTACAGACTACCGTGATGATGTTGTTCTTCGATGTAATATATGTTGAAGAAAGACTTTTGCTAGGATAGGAACCTTTATCTCTCTATCCAATTTGAGACTAAGATATATTATAATAATTGCTGCGAACTGTATAGTAAAAGTACCAGTAACATTGGCTGCAATAATCGCAGATGCTACTGAAGCTTCAGCTGTTCAGAGGTATGAGTATTGTAGGGACATATCCATAATAAAAATGATAAACTTACACAACCAGAGAACACACAAATAATAATGAAGCTATGTAGTCGAGTCTGGGAGGATTTTTATGACCTTATCATAGCTCCAGAGACCAACTATTATGGAGCCATATGGATGAGTTCGTCTACCTTATGCATTACGATTCCGGAACCTTTGAACCTTTTTCTAACGTTGACAAGTTTTTGGACCATATAAAAGAAGTGTATCCAATTTGATTATTTGGTTTTGTATAATCAATTTTTACTCAATGCTGACTGTTCACTGACTGGCTAACATTTCCCAAGGTCAATTAGGATTCGTTCAACGGTAGTCCATAAATTATAATCTCGCCATTGGTTTTTCTTGTCTATAGAAACATAAACCACGTTTGTCTAAAATATAATAATAGAAATATCTCTCTGAACTTTCAGACTCAAGGCAGTAGACAGAGGGAATCTTGAGAGTAACGGACAGACTAGAACGTAGCTGCGTTGGATTAAAGTAAGAGGTGCTCGTGGTGCATGATTTGTCATTTACGAGCCACTAGGTTATAGAAGAAGTATTGAGTTCTAGATAATTTGATTGGTGACTTTAGCATGTGATATTAAACAGTGTTAACAACATACAACTGTCCTGTCAAGATTTGTATACAATGATACGTTTAAAGTGTTCAGTATATTTTGGAGTAAACTTTTGAACTACTGAAAAAATGAAAGTAGCACATTACAACAACAACAAAAAATCATTTTGTATAGTTAAGATCATGAGTCAGTTGAAGCTAGACCACCATCGAAAACCTGAAAGAACTGGACGGCCGTTTCGTCCTATTATGAGACTCGTCAGTAGTGCGCATCCACGAACCTGCTCTCGCGAGACTCGAACCCAGGACCTACCAATCTCGAGCCAGAGCCCTTAACTGACAGACCACTGAGCCGGCATCCAACGGTGTTAATGTCTAACCTCAACCAATCCACGAAATTGCGCGCAACTTGTACTGAGGTAGATACCTGTCTCTACCTGACATGGATTAGCTCCACTGGCTACGACTTCTCACTAGAACTCTAGGAATTACTTGATTGAGCCATTCACTAGTGAGAGAGTTCGTGTATGCGCACTGCTGAGGAGTCCCATAATAGGACGAAACGGCCGTCCAGTGCTTCCAGGTTTTCGATGGTAGTTTAGCTTCAACTGACTCATGATCTTAACTATATAAAATTACTAAAATCTCCACAAAACTCCCTTGTGATAACTAAAATTCAAATGACTGGAAACCATATGTATATATAATCTCAATTAAATTTTATAATTTCTACTATTCAATCAATCAGTCATAAGTAACATAAAGTATGGTATGTATATGTGAATCAGTTCAATCATTCACATCACATGAGATGAAACTATTAAAACAAATGCCAAAGTAAAAGCATCAACTGTTCATGATAGTTAACAATGATCAACCAACGACAATATTATTCGTGGCCAGAAAAATAAATATATGAAATGAAAAGTATCATATAATGTAGAAATTTAAAATCTAATTCTAAGCCATGTTTCCCAACATTTCCATCCACTCATTAAAGTAATCCTGTGAATCTTGGCCAAGTAGTCTGCACTAACCAACACATCTCATTTCAAGAGTCACCGGTGTTTTGGTCGGAATGGGTAGCTTACAGAGTTCAGACTTAGTTTACATCATACATCCCTGTCTATAACCAAATATCAGTACTTACTGATGATGAAGAAAATGTTGATTGTGAATTCGTGGATGTAAACAAAGAAAGTAATAACGAAAATAAAGTTATGCTTAGAACCATTACTTTCTTATCATGTTGTGTTAGATGGGATATAAGTGATCTGAATGATTGTATAATGATTAAATTATGGTTAGCGTTTTTTTAGCGAGCTAGTTTTCTACGGGATGGGGTCGCTAATCTCATGCCCAACCCTTTTCCTTTATCCAGACTTGGGATCGACAGTAGCCCCCCAGATGGGCAACAGGTGGAGTATTAAATTATGGCATATTACTAATTTATACGTTCAGCGGCGGCTGATCTAATTCATATAGGAAGGTCAAAATTAAGTATTCATTGGGTAAATACAATTCACTGCTAAAACTAGTTGTCTAGAATCGAAGTGTTATTTTCATTAGAAATTTTTATCGGATAGTAGATGGATTCAGAGAATAAGTCGATCAAATCAGTTTGCATTGTCTAAAAATGATTACTATGCATAAATTACATCATGAACACGTCAACATCTGGAGGAAAGAATGGGATACAGTGGAAAGGTAGGATGTAGCTGGACGATTTAGACATCGCAGATGATCTGGCTCTTCTACCACACACGCAACAACAAATGCAGAAGAAGACGACCAGTGTAGCAGCAGCCTCATCAGCAGTAGGTCTCAATATAAACAAAGGGAAAAGCAAGACTCTTCGATACAATACAGCATGCACCAATCGAACTTCACTTGACGGAGAAGCTTTGGAGGATGTGGAAACCTTTACATATCTGGGCAGCATCCTTGGTGAACACGGTGAATCTGATGCAGATGTGAGAGCGAGGATCGGCAAAGCAAGAGCAGCATATTTACAACTGAAAAACATCTGCAATTCAAAACAATTTTCAACCAACACTAAGATCATAATTTTCAATACAAATGTCAAGACACTTCCACTGTATGATGGGGAAACCTGAAGAACTACGAAAGCCATCATCCAGAAGATACAAGTTTTTATTAACAGTTGTCTACTCAAAATACTTCTGATCCGTTGGCCAGACACCATTAGCAACATTCTACTGTGGGAGAGAACGAACCAGATTCCAGTGGATGAAGAAATCAGGAAGAAGCTCCGGAAGTAATTGGAACACACATTGCGGGAAAGTACTCAACTACATCACAAGGCAAGTCCTCACATGGATTCCTGAAGGCCAAAGGAGAAGAGGAGGATCAAAGAACACATTACTCTGAGAAATAGAGAGAAACATGAAAAGAATGAACAACAAGTGGATAGAACTAGAAAAGGAGGCGGAGGATAGAGCGGCTTAGAGAATGCTGTTCGGCGGCGTATGCTCCATTGGGAGTAACAGGCTTAAGTACGTAATTAAGTAATGCATAAATTACAATAGGAATAAACACACATAGATACTCACCTCAATATCTGGTCCCATATTCTCTTGTTCATCTTTTTTGACAAGACGTTTAGCTTTTTCCATTCTTTCTGATGCCCGTTTTAAACGTGTATTTTGTTTTTCAATTTCATTCATTCTATGCTCTAATTCCAATTCTAAACGTTTTGTTTGATCTTTATATAATTCTAAATCGTTATCTAAACGAGTTGATGATTCTTGCATTGTCTAAAATGAACAAAAAATTTGGTTATAATATGATTAAAAAGATAACAAAGTATAGAAGTGAAAATAGTCTTAAAGGGTTACATCTGGAGCCTTCAACTTAAAGATCTGATCCACAAGACAGTGGAGTATTGTAAGGAGATGCAGTCCCATGGTAGCTGGTTACCAACGATTGGTTCATACTCCATTTGTTCCTTCAACATTCTGAAGCCCATGTGCACTATTGGTTTGGAATAAGTGTTTCCCAATTTCCCTAAGAGGACTTTCTGTATCCACTAATCCGATTAAAGCACCAAGCATTTGCTTTTCGTCCTCTCATATTCGTAACCAACACTCGTGGTACGAGAAGGAAGTGAGTAGGACTTCCTTGGCAGAGGCTGTATACGCGTTGCCATGTGAGAGCATTTCGAGAGGTAGAGCGAACTCTCCTCACTCTCGGCCGTACCAGGGCATTTGGGGGAGCCATGTTTGGAAAATCATTGAAGATCAAAGACTAGTAGACAGTTGAAACAAAGTCTATGACAGCATGTTACAAATTTAATCAACATTAACTTTATTATAATATCACTGTAGCTACAAAAGTAAGAGGGTAAATCAGTTCATTACAGATAGTCTTTCTCTACGTCTATATAACTTGACCATATTTTGTCGAATGTCCAGCACTTCAACCAGGTTGGTAGATTTACCTAGGGGAGTTGGGAAAACCCTCATTCTAAAGCAATGATGCACATGAACTCCGGGACCTTAAGGATACCGATGGCACATGAGTCAGTTGTTGGTCGGCGGCTACCATGTAACTGCATTTCCTGAAGTTGTTCCACTATCTTGTGGATAAGACCTTCAGTTTGAAGGCCCTGAGTATGGCCTCTTAAGAAACGACCTACTTCGGTTTGGGCGCCCGGGTAGTATTATAGTCCACACACAAATCAAGTGACTTGTATGGTTCATATATATTCGGCGCCCCTTTGCACCAATATTCATGTGTTAAAACAAATGAATATTGTTATTTCACAATGGCAGCCCTAGCATCTTAAGGAAATCTTAACGATTTCCATCTCTTTTATGATTATCAAAGAAATTTTTAGGGGTTTCTATGGTTACCAATAACGATCTAATGATTTGTCATTTAATATATCTGATTACATTCTCCATCTACATCTCAATTGTGTAGGAGTTGTGTACATTTATGAATATTAAACGCTTAAATATTAATATCATAATGACAAAACTTGGCAGGAATACTACCCTTAACTCAGGGTCTGGAAAGTCGGAAAAATGAAAATTTCGCATTTGCGATAAAAATGATCTTGATGGTCTTGTATTAGTATTCCAACATCAGACAATGGGTTTTAAGCGTTCTTATGCTTAACGCTTCAGGATGAGCTATCTCGTTTACTACCATACTTTTGCGTCACATGCAGTATAAGCTATATAGTCATGTAGAGCTGAAGATCTTATGTGAGACTGGAGGTTCGCTATTGACATTATGAATGGTTTGGCATTACTTTGGTACGTTTTGGTGACTGTTCATGTGAAAACTTTGTTTCCAAGTCAACCGACTTCATTCGTACTGGTGGCTGATTCTCAGTGTTCTCAAGAGCTATTGTCATTGGAGCATTGTAAAACATATCGCCATTGCTAACATCAATGAGTTTGACAATCACGTGAGCGGAATGGGTTAACTTTGGCCTGTCCATACTGTGCATAACTCATCTACGCGTTCACTGATCGAAATAATTATACACGTGATGTGAATGTGTATATGAATGGTGTGAATGGTCTATCAGGGTACTTGGTACCTGTTGCTTGCGTCACCGGATTGAGCTGTACTGTTCAGATTGTAGCGTTGAAGCGCATATAATGTCTGATTCTGTTGTGGGGCAGGACTGAGCTGTACTTCTCTGGTTAAGCCTGATGGCGGTGTCAGGTTATCCTGTTGAACAGGTTTGAGCTATATTGTTTAGATTGTCACATGAACATCTGGATAGTGTCCGGTTCTTCTGAAAACCAATACAAAATTATCCTACTCCACAAGGGTATATCATATAACTATAACTAACAAAACTTGACAGTTTCTTGATTCGATCCATCATAGATCACAGTGACTAGTGATGATGAACTCTTAATCTAATGAACTAACAAATGTATATAGATAAGATTAAACATGATCTCCATAATAAGAAACCTCACTTACATTGTATAAATCCTGTAGTTCTTTTAAACGAGATTGATCATAACGTGACTTTATATTTAACATCCTTATTTGTTCATTTAATTCTGTTTGTTGTCTGATCTCTTCTGAATCATTCGGTAGCTGTGTATAACTCATACGATATACTGTATTACAACCATTCATTAATGCTAATGTATTTTCAAGGGCTATAATTTCTTGTTCTAATATATGGATTTCATTATCTAATGTATCACCTTTACGTTGTAATAATTCTTTATCTTGAGCAGCCTATTCAAATAAAATACAAAAAAAAAAAAGAAAAAGGAAATAGAACCTCCTCGCCTAGATCTTTTCCACCGTACAAAAAAAGTAGTAATGTAGTGTAGTCTACTTATATCCATATATAAGTAGTATAGGGTGAGGATCAGATATAGAATGTATTTTGACAGAAGATTGATAAGGAAAGAACAGGAATGAAGGGCAATTGGTAGTAGAATGGATGAACAATGGAATTAGAGAAGATGGACCGCTACTTATATCCATATATACAGAACAATCATGAGCTGTGGTGGGCAACGAAAGTAAACAAGATGGAAAAGGCAGCGATTGTAGGTGATACCAGACAACTCTCCAGACTAATAAAAGAAACCGGAATTAAGAAGTCAAGTGTAAATGAGACAATCTCGGAAAAATATGAGATTCTTATATGATCTCAGCTCAGACGTTTGGAACGATGGGCGGAACACTTTAGAGAACAGTTTAGCTGGCTTTCAACTACTCTACAGTTACTCACCACTCTCAAACAGTTTGAATGAAACATTGAGGCAGATTCCCCGACTCTACCGGAAGTTTAAAAAGCTATGGCTAAGCTGGAACGAGGAAGAGCAGCTGATCCAGATGGATTGGCTCCAGAGGTCTTTAAATATGGTGGTCCAGTTTTAGCTATTAGATTGACTAATATTTTACCTAAAATCTGGGAACCGGATGTATTCCCATCTGACTGGTTACAATCACTGGTTGTTCCAATATATTAGAAGGGGTCACAATCATCCTGTTATAACCATAGAGGGATTAGTTTGACTTACATACCATCTAAAATACTAGCCTCAATAGTTCTCGGGTGCCTTACTAAGACTCGTGAACTGCAAACACGAGAAAATCAAGCTGGCTTGATTTTGTGAAGTTCAAAAGCCTATAGTCAATCTTAAGTGAGAAGGAGGAGTGAGGCCTAATGGACTAACTAGTTTGGTAGTACACCTTCAGCAGCTAAGCTGAGTGAGATACTAGTTGGATTTTGAAATGTGAATGTAATCCAATCTGACTCATCTTGACCGCTGATCGTTTCAATTTATACAAAAGAACAAAATTCCTTTTGCGACAACTACAGTAAGTTTAGACTAACCGACAGTGTCTGAAGTTAACGTCCAATACTTAACTAGGGCTCGTAACACGCGGGGTGTTTTCAGACCTGAAATTTGATGTGTAAACTGAATGTTAGCTATTAGTCATGTAATGAATCATAGACAAACTTTCCAACTTCCGACCATAGTTATATTCTTTGACTTCAAGACAGCATTCAACTCTGTTAAACGAAAGGTTCGGTGGCGGTGTATATCATCAAAGGTGTACCGAACAAACAAATCAACATTGTACAGGCTCTCTACTCAAACTCTACTAATCGAGTTAAATCTTCTAGCGAACTGTTATCAGAACTGTAATCACAAGTGGTGTTCATCAGGTTCTTCTCTTACATATTCATTTAAACTTATCATACATATTGTTTTAGATATATACTCTCGTTCAGCTTTTTAGGTATTGATATGTTATCAGGAGACTCACTTGCCTTATTACAATTCGCAGAAGATGTAGTTCTTGTTAGTGAATGCTTACGCAAAATACAAGGTCCTCCGGGTTTCCAACCAAAAAAAGATTATATTGTACAGCAGTTCACTCTGTTCTAATTTATGCATGCGAGCTACCACTATTCAGTATATACATGATCTTATACTGGTCGAATCTTAATCAATCATACTTCATAGTGATAGTGATGATTTCAAGATAAAATTCAACTTCTATGAATGAGATTTACAACTTGAGTTATGAGATGATGGAGAAGATTTATAGCTCTGGTGGGTGATTTTGATGTAGATTTGTTCTCTCAGCTGGATGGTTTGGTCTTGGAGCTTTCATAGTCTTTCTGAACGAGATCATCAACACAAACTTCGGGTAGAAGTGAAGTCTATCCGAAGTTTGTGTTGATGATGTCCTTCAGAAGGACTATGAAAGCTCCAAAACCAAACCATCCAGCTCAGAGAACAAATCTACATCAACAACATGAGTTAAAATAAAGCATTAGAAAAAATTTCACAGCTTACTCTTATGATGTAATATGCTTGATTTCTTGTTTCTTCACCTTCTGGTGGTGCCATTAATGCAGTGATTATTTCATAACTATATTGAAGAAGTTTAAAAAGGCATCGAAGAAAAAGAATCAAAATTATATCTGTTTAAGAAAATAATATAGAAAATATATTGATTATAATCTGAAATTTATATGCATAGAGATCTGTCCAGGAATTCCGGATCACATTCCTTCAAACGTATACTTATGGTGATAAGCTCCACCATTTTAGATTTCTTTTAATTCACTAATGATAAGCAAACATGGATGGTGACTAACAGTGGAATCGAGGGCAAAGAGTGTTTCGTCCTACTTGGGACTCGTCACCTATATCACTGAGTCAATGTTGACTCCGAGACTCGAACCCTGTACCGATCGCTTCAAACATTATCCCGTTAAACACTCAGTTACCAAAGCCTGACAAACATCAGCTTTTGCATTTCAGGTGAGGTTTAAATCCACTTGGTATTATTTGCTTATATCTTCCGATTGCTGTTAATGTACAAGATACATATATACCAATAGGAGACTGATTAATAGCAGTTCTTAACAACAATGGTGAGATACGAGTGAATTTAAACTAATTATAACTTGCCATCCCAACTCAGGACTCACCAGTCTTGCACGCGAGCGCTTGACATCTAGACCACTAAGCTGACATCCAACGGTGTTAATGTCTAACGTCAACCAATCCACGAAGTTGCGCCATCGTCCACCAATTGTCTTCAGTGAGTTCCTATCTCACAACAGACCTGGTTGAAGTGGTCACTGTTTCCCACTAGAACTCCGGGAAATATCTCTTGAAGTCAGTTACTAGTGTACATATGATTATAATCATAAGGGATTTTGAGGAGATTTCAGTATTTTCATAGTTGAAATCATGAGTCAATTGAACTGGTAGGTCTTGAGTTCGAATCTCAAGAGGTGAGATCGTGGATGCGCACTGCATAGGACGAAACGGTTGTCCATTGCTTCCAGGTTTTCCTTGATGGTCTAACTTCAATTGACTCATGAATTCAACTATGAAAATACTGAAATCTCCACAAAACCTTTTCTGATTAGTAATCAGAAACTAATTTCATGCTTAAAAAGCTTGAAATGTAAAAACATTGCGTTATAACTAATAAATAATGAATATTATCAGGAAGGAGTTTTGTAGATATCAAAAGAGTTTAATAGTTGAATTCATGAGTCAATTGAAGTTAGGCTACCACGGAAACCCTGAAAGCACTGGACGGCCATTTTGTCCATGTGTAAAGCTCCTCAACAGTGTTCATCCAGGTTAAGCATTCATGCGCGAGACTGATAGGTCCTGAGTTCGAATCTCGCGAGGTGGGATCATACCTGCGCATTGTTAACGAGTCCCTCACTAGGACAAGATGGCGATCCAGTGTTTCCATGTTTTCCATAGTGATCTAGCCTTTAATTGACTATGAAATAACGAACATTGTCTACTTTTTTAGTTCTTTTTGTGATATTACTTATCAATAATTAAGTAGTTTACTGATAGTTTTAACAAAAAACTAAACCTACCGTTTAATTAATTTATCCACTTTTGATTTCCGTTCTTGAATTTCAATATTTAATTGACTATTTTCAGTAGTATAAATTTTGATTTGTTTATTTAACATTGTTTGATGTAAATTAATTTGTTCTGTACGTTCTTTTATAGTTGAATTTAATTCATAACTGGTCTTTTGTAAATCATATCTCTATAATGTTGATAAAATATAGTAAACATATATACAATTGGTAATGATGAATCAGCACTAGTATTTAAACAATAAAAGTTTAACGATCAGAAGGGGTTTTGTAGGGCGTCTCGCCTCGTGAGGTGAGATCGTGGGTGCGCAATGCCAAGGAGAACAACCAAAAAGAACAACCAAGTCTGACACGATTGATGGTGTAGTGCCGTGCTTCGATCATAGTTCGCTTCGATAACCGTTATTAATACCAATCTTAACGGTGTATAATATCAGAAGGCAAAGGGAAGCGGCAACTACATTTTTATTGATAATCGATGCAGACCAGAAAGTTGTAAGCACATGAACAACTGTAAGCAAGCGAAGCAAAGATGATGCGTATTGGAGATGGCTGGGAAGCCAACTGATTTTAAGCAAGCGTTAACTAACATTTATAGGCAGGCAAAAATGAGTGACAGACATATGATGAATAAGATACGAAGTGTACACATATGCGCTCATATAAAAAGTACTCAAGGTTAATAAGCAAATGATTAACAAGATCAAAAGATGACTCAATGTACAGGTGAATTGGCTTGGCCAGTAACTAGAATAAAGTATATGGGCCTAACATATGAACTGGTACTACAATGGTTCCAGGACTTTACTAAGATTTTCTGTAATTATGTTGTTCAGCTACAACATAGGATCAGGCACATGTATGCATCGGTCCAAGTCGCCATACCTCATTATTACAACAAGATAAACACTGAATCCATAGAAGTGATTAATTTAGTGGTGGTAACATATAAAAGTTAGGTTGTATATAATGATGTGGTACAGGAAGGAAGATAGATATGAGGCAATTTTAATCTTATAGCTTAAGGGAAGACAGAATGTGTATGCACCTACGCCATTGTGATCGATTCTGAGCCATGTCACATAGAGTCTCCAACCATTGGTTAACATAGTCTGTAATTTTGTATTGAAATACATTCGATTCTCCCCAATTGCGTTCTCCTTAATTGCACAACCACCTGAATTTTGTTAAATTTGTGGTTTTTATACTTTATTACGATTTTTTAGAACATTCTCCTTTCATTATGTGTTAAAATATAAACTTCACGATCTTATTAGGTTGATTAAAATCTTTGCCAAATCATAGTTTATATGTTTATTTCATCAATGTTAGATCCAGCTTTCGTTGAGACTATAATTTATGGATGACCTTTGAGTGATCCTAAACTTCTTTTGAGAATGTCCTCCTACTTACATGAATTAAATGAGAATTATAATAAGCAGTTTGAAGAATAAGGAGTATGATTTACAGTTGATAGTTAAGGGTTAGGAATTAAATTCAATAGTTTCCATCATGAACTGACATCATATATATAATGCCAAAACGTTATTTAAATGAATAAATAAATAAATTTCGTGCCAAAATCCAAGACCTATTATCTTTAATCTGATTGGTTCGTTCATAAATTATAATCTTAACTAGCTTCTTAGCTATACATTGATTGGATGATGTTACTGTACACTGATTGGCTATTTCTTATCCAATCAGATTTAGCCGATGTAAATATATTAACATTTCTATTTTATTGTACTTTTTATTTCTATCTATCCTTTATTGTTTGGAATATAATAATTGAAGGTTCGAATGTCGTGAAGCGCGATCGTCTAAGCGCACTGCTGAAGAGTCACACAATAGGACGAGACGACTGTCCAGTGCTTCCAGGTTTTCCCTGGTGGTCTAGCTTCAATTGAATCACGCTTTCAACTATGAAAATATTAAATCTCCACAAAAACCCTTGTGATAATAATATTGCATAATTGTTAACTAACTTAACTATTCCTATTCATGTTCCTCATATTATAAGCTTTATTTTGACCTATGGAACTATTGTTATACGATCTACCATTCTTGAGTTATCCCTAGTCTATCATATACCATCTCCCTTATTCACAGCCACATTTGGCTGAGTCTTGTACAAATGTTGTTTTCCTATTTTATTTTACAATGTGGTCTATCTGTTTGGTATATGGACCAAGTACGTTTGGAATAAATGATTCATACCGCAGAGGCTGAGATTGATGTTATGGACTTAACTGGCTGGGCTAGGCAGAAAGCAGGACCGATAGAGTACTCTAGACTTCTCATACGGTTTCCGTGTATTACTTGGTTCGATCGATAATTCGCTACTCTATAATTGGAGGTATTATCATGTAATCAATTAGCAGGGCATCCAGGAGGCCATAAGTTATAACAAGGAATTTATCGAATGAATTCATTGTCCAAGAATATTCAGAATATAGTGATCATGAGTGCTGTTAGAGGTATGAGGGCAGTTATCACTTCCTGATTGCCCACACCTTGAAAGCGTTCTTCTAGAGGTACCTGAATAGGAAATCGTTTTAGAAGTTGGTCTTAATGATCTGAGAATGTGACCAATGTTCATATTGTTGTACTAACGAGGTATAGCAAGTTGAATCGATGAACATAGGTACCTGGTCCTACATTGTAGCTGACTGACTGATCAAGAATATTCAGTAATAAGAATAGGATAATCAACAATTAAAAAAGAAAGAATCATTTACCTTATTTGTATATTGTTCATATATTTTTGTTAATTTATTAAATTCTAATTTTTTTAAATTTTTTTCTACTAGAAGTTTTTTTAAATTAGATGATTCTTTATCTTTTTCTTTTAACATAATTTCCATTTGTAATTCATTATTATCTAATTGATTTTTAAGTAGTATATTTTTATTTGTTAAATTTTCATGTTCATGTTTTATACGATAAAGTTCTCTCTATAAAAACAGAAAGAAAGAAAAGAAAAAGAGAAAATATAAAAGTAATTGTGAGATAATTATATTTATAGCTAGACCATCATGGAATATCTGGAAAGACTGTTTGATGGCTGTTTCATACTATTGTGGGACTCCTTAGTGCCAGTGAGCATTCACGATCTCGCCTCGCAGGATTCGAACTCAAGACCTACCAGTTCAATTGACTAATGATTTCAACTATGAAAATATTGAAATATCCACAAAACTCTTTCTGATTATAATCATATGCTCACTAGTGACTGATTTCGAGATGTAAATCCTCGAGTTCTAGTGGGAAGCATTGACCAGTGGAGTTCAACCAGGTCTGTTGTGAGATAGGTACTCACTGAAGACATTTGGTGAACAGTTGCTCAAAATCGTGGATTGGTTGACGTTAGACATTAACACCGTTGGATGCCGGCCGAATCAGTGGTCTTTTCAGCAATGCGCATGCACGATCCCACACTCGCGAGATTTCAGCTCAGGACTTATCAGTCTTGCGCGCGAGCGCTTAACCTCTAGACCATTGAACCAGCATCCAACGATGTTAATGTCTAGCTTCAACTAATCCACGAGAGTGAGCGATCGTTCACCGATTGTTTTCAGTGAGTTACTATCTCACGACAGAACTGGTTGAAGTTCAATGATTTCAGCTATAAAATTACTAAAATCTCCACAAAACTCCCTTTTTGAATTTCATTCAGTTGAAATATCATTGCTAAATTGTAACTATCTGATATTTAATTCATTCTAGTATGGGATTCATCAGTTGTGTTCATTCTGCACCTTATCGAATAGATAGAACATAAGGTATTTAGGTTACTACAAATGAGTTTTTTGTCACTAGATATACGACAATGATTTCAATACGGTGATTTAAGATATAGCGTAAACATCATGTATCATTGTAGATGACTGTTTCACTAAGGACTTGTCTGATTTCCATTGACTGAAACTTCAGGAACTCATATCAAGATAGTTTAATAGTAGGCTAACTAATATAAACTAGATAAAGTGCTTTCTCAGGGATTATTTTGTTTGAAAGATGTGCACTGGTACTGCTAAATCAATGAATGAGAGAATGAGAATAACATAATAATATCAATAATATCAACACTTGAAAGTCATGTTATTCAAGATAACCAACTATGCATTAAACTCCGCCTGTAGCTCCCCCGAGGGCTACTGATGGTCCCAAGCCCGGGTAAAGAAGGATGGTTGGGGTAGAGTTAGTGACCCTATCCCGTAGAAAACCAAATCGCTAAAAAAACGCCAACCAGAAAAAAGACTATGCATCAATTTTATCCCATTTACAATATTCAGTGAACATATGTTCTGATGATTAAACTTTTGTACGACAATCGTTTCCCGACCCATGCATGCATTAGTTAATCAGGATAGCATAATGAAACAGATACTTATAATATGTCGGGATGTTCAGACAAACAGACATGACCAGTTTGACAGTTAGAACTTATTTTCATTGATAATAGGTTACAATAGTTGCAACGTATAAAGTCGTTGTCATTTACGAAATCATAAATCTTAGTAATATATTTCACTGTTTATGATTATTATTTAAACATATGAATATCGGTACGAATGGGCACCAAATACATATGCAACACACAAGTCACTTGATTTGTGTGTGAACTGTGATATTGCCCAGATGTGCAGACTGAAGCAGGTGGTTTTCCTAAGTGACAGTTCCCGGATCCTTCGACCTAAAGGTCTGATCCACAAGACAGTGAATCAATATTAGGAGATACTGTCGCATGGTAGAGAGTGATCAACAATATGTTCATACTCCATTTGTTCTTTCAGGATCCTGGAGTCTATGTACACCATTTGGTTTAGAATAAGGGTTTTTCCAAGTCCTTCAGGTGGATCCTCCGTGTTTATCAACCCAGTTAAAATGTTGGATATTTACTTTTCGTTCTCTCAATTCCGTAAAGAACAGTAATGCCTTAAGAAGGCAGTTAGTTGAACTTCCCTGTCAGTGGCTGTATACGCGTGTCAATGTGAGAGTATTTGGAGAGGGAGAGCTGATTCTTCGCACTCTTAGCCGTACCTAGGCATTTGGGTGCCATTTATTCTTCTAAAATTATGTACTCTTTACTTTGTTCTTACCATTTTTAATACTCTGAGTATATATTCTTTGATTTTCATCTTTTTAATATTCTATCATTATGAACAAGTAACATTTACATTACATGAAGACTCTCAAATTTTTATCAGATCTTATGTTGTTTATGTACAACTAGATGAAGATCTCCATCACTTGCCCATGACGTCAAGGATTTACTATTCATGATTAACAATATGTTTCCTTTAATCCAATACTAATAGCCTCTATCAAACTATATACTCAGAATATGAAAACAATAGCAATATCTAGATATATAATCAAATATTTTACATAATATAAGCAAAGATAGATATTAACTGGCAGTGGAATCCAGGAATCGCATTTCGTCCTATTCGAGACTCGTCACAACTAGCCACTATCCATCTTTGCTCATAATACTTGTGAATTAAGGCCATATCTAGACAATGCGTACAGTATGCACATATAGCGAATAAGAGACCGATTCATTGTAGTTCTAAACATCAATAAAGAAGATTCAAACAAGCAGCACTAAGTGAATTCAAACTTAACCCCATTGCACAAGTAAGTGACTATCATGACTCAGTACCTAGGTGGATAACGTGATGGCAGTTAAAGCAAAAGTTACTGGGTTTGAGTCCCAGAGTAAACATCAACTCTTAGATGTAAGTACATTCAGCTGATGAGTCCTAAATAGGGACGAAACACACATACACACACATACGCATTCAATCAAAACCAATATCAAAATGAATTTAGATCATATAAAACATGAACTTACATTTAAATTTTTTAATTGATTTGTTAATAAATTGAAAATATTCATTCGTTCATTGAATTCATTAGTTAATTCATTAATTTTATTTTTAATTAAATCATATTGTTCAATATTTTGTTCACCAGTCATTTTATTAATACGTCTTTCTAAATTTTGTATTGTAAAATCCTAAATTAATTTTTTAAAAGAATAAAATAGAACATTACTATTATCAGTAGTAATAGTAATAGTAGTAGTAGTAGTAGTAGTAGTAGTAGTAGTAGTAGTAGTAGTAGTAGTAGTAGTAGTAGTAGTAGTAGTAGTAGTAGTAGTAGTAGTAGTAGTAGTAGTAGTAGTAGTAGTAGTAGTAGTAGTAGTAGTAGTAGTAGTAGTAGTAGTAGTAGTAGTAGTAGTAGTAGTAGTAGTAGTAGTAGTAGTAGTAGTAGTAGTAGTAGTAGTAGTAGTAGTAGTAGTAGTAGTAGTAGTAGTAGTAGTAGTAGTAGTAGTAGTAGTAGTAGTAGTAGTAGTAGTAGTAGTAGTAGTAGTAGTAGTAGTAGTAGTAGTAGTAGTAGTAGTAGTAGTAGTAGTAGTAGTAGTAGTAGTAGTAGTAGTAGTAGTAGTAGTAGTAGTAGTAGTAGTAGTAGTAGTAGTAGTAGTAGTAGTAGTAGTAGTAGTAGTAGTAGTAGTAGTAGTAGTAGTAGTAGTAGTAGTAGTAGTAGTAGTAGTAGTAGTAGTAGTAGTAGTAGTAGTAGTAGTAGTAGTAGTAGTAGTAGTAGTAGTAGTAGTAGTAGTAGTAGTAGTAGTAGTGGTACTAGTAGCAGTGGTAGTAGTAGTAGTAGTAGTAGTAGTAGTAGTAGTAGTAGTAGTAGTAGTAGTAGTAGTAGTAGTAGTAGTAGTAGTAGTAGTAGTAGTAGTAGTAGTAGTAGTAGTAGTAGTGGTAGTAGTAGTAGTAGTAGTAATAGTAATAGTAAGAGTAGTATTCGAAAATATTGATTCTTTTGTTATATAATTGTAGTAGTGTAGTGTGTACTACTGATATCGATAGATATAAGTAGTATATATCATCAATCAGAAGTGAAATGTTTTTGGAATCAGAAGGTTAAGAAGATGGAAGAGAAGAGAAAGAGAATAGAGAATGATTGGTGTGGAAATGAAGGAACAATCAAATCTGAGATAACTGATGGATATTTTGTAAATGAAGTATTCACTGTGTAGTATAGTTTCATATGTTAAGCCTATATGCCATATTCTTACTTCTGGACAAGTCAATTCACCTATCCATCATGAGTCATGTTTTCACCTTATTATTTATTCACTTATTAACCTGGACCATTTTTTATATGAGAGTAAGTGTATGTACACTTTCTTATCCTATTTATCACATGTTTGTCATTTATTCTTGTCTGACTATGAATATTGATTAACGCTTGATGAAAGTGAATTGGCCTATCCGCCATCTCCACTGTGTGTCGTTTTTACTTCGCTCGCTAATATTTACTCATGTGTCTATAACTTTCTGGCCTGCGTCATGTATCAATAAAACTGTAGCCGCCGCTTCTCTTTACCTTCTGATATTATGCACCGTTAAGATTTGTATTATAACGGTTATCGAGGTAAACGATTAACGAAGCACGGCACTACAACTGTATGATTTTTTGATTTTACTAAAATGTCACCACTTAGAAGTTGACATTTCAGGAATCAACATGTGAATAATGTACATTCTTTTCACTGCATATATCCAGCAACCACGATGTATATGATTGAAACTATAATTTATGGACGAACTAATCAGATTTAAGATAACAGGTATCGGTTTTTGGAGTGAAATTCATTCATCCAATTGGCTGATTAGTATTTTGGCATTAAAACTGATGTCGGTTCGTAATGAAAACCTTCAAACGAATTCCTAGCATTAATCATTAACTGTAAATTAATATTCGAATTCCTCAAACTGCTTTGTAACCCTCATTTAGCCCTAGAAGGTAGGTAGACACTGCCAAAGTCACTTTATCATCGTACATAAGTCATCCATATATTATAGACTCACCCAAATAACCTTTTGAATTATCTAGATCACAAGAACAGGTAGCTCAAATATTCAAAGGATGTAAAACTCCGCCTATAGCTCCTCTGAGAGCTACTCCCGGTCCAAATCTCGGATAAAGCAGGAGGGTTGGGCATGAGTTAGCGACCCAATCCCGTAGAAAACTAACTCGTTGAAAAAACTCTTATTCAAGAATTGTATACTGTTTACATCGGGATACTACTCCTAAACTCAGGGACTGGAAAGTCAGAAAAATGAAAATTTCACAATTGCGATAAAAATGATCTTGATGGTCTTTTATTAGTACTGCAACACCAGACAATTGGTTTTTAGCGTTCTTTATGCCCTAATGCTTCAGGCTCGGCTATTTCACTTACTACCCTACATATGTGTTGTATGCAGTATGAGCTATATTGCCATACAGAGCTGAAGGTCTTATGTGACACTGGAGGTACGCCATCGACATTGTGGATGGTTCGGCACTACTTTGGTATTTTTCGCTGACTGTTAATGTGAAAAGTCGGTTTGTCGTTCAACCGATTTTATTCATACTGCTCGTTGCTTTTCAAAGTTCTCAAGGGCTATTGCCATTGGAGCATTGTAAGGTATATCGCCATTGCTAACTGTCGTGTAAGCGGAATGGGTCAACATTGTCCTGTTCATGCTTTGCATAATTGATTTACGCGATCAATGATTGGAATAATTATATATGTGATGTGAATGTTTATATGAATGGTGTGAATGGTCCACTAGGGTGCTTGATACCTGTGTGATTGCGCCACAGGATTGAGTTGTACTATTCAAATTGTAGCTTTGAAGCTCATATAATGTCTGATTCTGTTGTGGGGCGGTATTGAGCTTTACTGCTCTGGTTAAGCCTGATGGCGATGTCTAGTTCTCCTGAGAAACTGGGTCGAGTTCTACTCTTTGGATTGTCACCTGAAAATCTAGATGGTTTCTAATTCTCCTGAAAAGCAATTGCAAGTTACCCTAACCCATTAGGGTATATTATATATATAACTAAATATAATACTGTTTACAATAGAAATTAAAATTGTTACTAACCTGACGATATAAAACTTCTTGTTGTTTTAATAATTGACCATCTAATAATTCAATTTTTATAATTAAATTTTTTTTAGTTGTTTCATTGCCTAAAATTGTTTGTTTTAATAATTTCTCTTCATTGATAAGTTCATCATATTTCTAATATAAATCAATAAAAGATGAAAGAATTAGTTACTAAGGTGTAAAATAACTCCTCCTGTATCTCTTCTTGAGTTACTGCCGGTTCGAAGCCCGGATAAAGGAGGATGGTTGGTCATGTGGTACGCTAACCAGAAAAATAAGGAGTAGAATCTTTCTATAACTATGTAAAAAAAGTAATAATAATAATGGATGATGTGGCCAACAGTGGAATCCAAGACATGCGTTTCGTTCTATTTCGGGACTCATCAGCCGGACGTACCTGCATCTCAGAGTTGATGTTTCCTCTGGGACTCGAACCCAATACCTGTCGCTTCTAACGCCATCATGTTATTCAATCAGCTATTGAGTCCTAATAATAGTTATAGGGAAGTTTATTCCACATTCTTCTTGTCTTGTAATAATGTCTACTAGGGATGTATATTGAACCAAGCTTGAATATAATCAAATGTAAACAGTATAAATACATGAAATGAATAATCGTCTAATGGAATTAATAGTTCAAGTAGATATTCTCATAATCTATGGTTCGAGAACTTAGATAATAGTGATTAAGGAGTCTATTTATCCACTCTATATATTTACCTTACTTTGGGAATTACAATCTACATACTTTAACTGTTGTATTTCATTGATTCATTTAGAATTGTCTATTGCAATTGATTGATCACTGTGTAGTGACCAATATCATGTGTGTCAAGTTCTTCTTAGTGCTGATTGAACGTTATCGATCAAGTTATAATGTGGTCACTAGTCTAGGTGGCTCGACACTGCGTGCACTATGTTGAGATGAGATAGTGGTTGGAGGTGGCCAACAGGAAACCCTGGATCTGGGTTACTTGGCACTCGTCAGCAAGGTGTACTTGCAATCTTAAGGGAACTGGTGTTCCCTGACGGATTCTATTCCGTGTCACACAGCTTCACAGTCAGAGACGCTACCTTGCTAACGAGTGCCGATTAGCACGAAACCTACGTCCACAACCATCTTATCTCACCATATTGTACGCAATGTTGACTCACCTAGATTAGTAGCTACATTGCAACTTGATCGATAGGATTCGATCTTCACTAAGAAGTACCTGTTCACTCAATGATCAATCAATTATAAATCAATTCCTATCTAGATATGATCTAAGAAAATGTCTAATGGTTATAAATCAGAATTATATAATACTATATTCAAAGAAATGTTATTAGATCTGTTACATAACGTATAAGTGTATAGTGGTTGAAGGTAATCGACATGAAACCATTGATTTAGGTTTCGTATTATTTGGAATGTTGTCAACAAGATGTATCTGTAATCTTGAAAGAACTGATACTCTCTGAAAGAAGCGATCTCATATTAACCAGATTCATAGTCAAAAATGTTACCTTGGTAACAAGTGCCAAATAATATGAGACCTAGATCCAGGGTATTCTGTTGACTACCCTTAACATAGTATATATATATATATATATATATATATATATATATAACTAACCTGATTCATAGTTGAAATCAGAAGTCAATTAAAGCTAGACCACCATGGAAAATCTGGAAGCACTGCTTGACGGCCATTTCATCCTATTATGGGACTCCTCAGTGCCAGTACGCATCCACGATCCCCTGACTCTTGATTTCAACTATGAAAAAATATTGAAATATCCACAAAACCCACTTCTTACCTGATTCATTTTAAATTTATCATTACGTAATTTGTTTAATTGTTTACATAATAATTCATAATTTAATTCATATGATATTAATTGTTTATCCATTTCATTAGCATATTGTTCAGCGGTTAATTTACATTCTGTCACGTAAGATAATTGTTTCATTGAATGTTCAATAGATTCTTGTAGTTTATCAAGACTAAATAGAAAGGAATAAAAAGATGATTGTAAAGGAATCATTTGGTTACTTACTTACTTACTTACTTACTTACTTACGCCTGTTAATCCCAATGGAGCATAGACGGCCGACTAGCATTCTCCAACCCACTCTGTCCTGGGCTTTCTTTTCTAGTTCTATCCAATTCTTGTTCATTGTTCTCACGTTTGTCTACATTTTGTCGGCGTACTGTGTTCTTTGGTCTTCCTCTTCTCCTTTGACCTTCAGGATTCCATGTGAGGGCTTGTCTTGTGACGCAGTTAGGTGATTTCCTCAAAGTGTGCCCAATCCACTTGCAGTGCTTCTTCCTGATTTCTTCCTCCGCTGGAATCTGGTTTGTTGTTTCCCACAGTAACTTGTCGCTGATAGTGTCTGGCTAGCGGATCCGAAGTATCTTGCGTAGACAGCTGTTAATAAACACTTGTATCTTCTGGATAATAGCTTTCGTAGTTCTCCACGTCTCTGCCCCATACAGTGGAAGTGTCTTGACAATTGTTTTGAATTCCAGATGTTTTTCAGTTGTAAATATGCTGCTCTTGCTTTGCCGATCCTCGTCCTCACATCTGCATCTGATCCATCACCACGCTAACCAGAATCATTTGGTATATATCATTAAAAAGTTTATTTTTATATTAGAAACAATCTATTATGGGACCGACAGTAACTCTAGATGAGCTACAGGCGGATAGGGTTGGATGAAGAATGTTTGTGAGTAGCCTATGCTCCTTCACGAGGGGTAACAGGCGTAAGTAAGTAAGTATTATGGGAGAGAATAAACTAGATTTCAGTGAAGGAAGAAATCAGAAAGAAGCACTGTATCGGATGGAAACTTGAAGAACTCCAAAAGCTGTCATCTATACGATACAAGTAATTATTAACAGTTGTCTACGCAAAATACTTCAGATCCGTTGGTTAGACATTATCAGCAACAACCTACTGTGAGAGAAAACAAACCAGATTCAAACGGAGGAAGAAATCAGGAAGTAGTGCTGGAAGTGGATAGGACACACATTGAAGAAATCACCCAACTATGTCACAAAGCGAGCCCTCAAATGGAATTTTGAAGGTCAAAGGAAAAGAGAAAGACCAAAGAACACATTACGCCGAGAAATTGAGACAGATATGAGAAGAATAAACAACAATTGAATAAAGCTAGAAAGCAAAGCGCAGGAGAGAGTGGGTTGGAGAATACTGATCGACGGCCTATACTCCATTGAGGGGTAGCAGGCCTAAGTAAGTAAGTAAGTGGAATACTAAGTAAATGAGGTTAGAGCCATGGGAATATAATTAAGCAGTTTTTGAACGAGAGAAACAGATTTAAAGAGTCTCTCAAAGTAACAAAAGATCAATTGATGGTAATCAGAAGTGATCCAAAGGTCAAGTACATTTCATACAGGTCAATAGGTCAGTTTCCTAAGGATTAGAGTGGTAAATATACATATGAATGTATTTCATTTGGTAGTCCAAAACAATTTATTACTCGCGTGTTCTAGCTCAGTTGGGAGGTTAGCATGTAACATATAATATATCAGCCTCAGATTTTCAGACACCTCACATCACAACGAAAATAATTAATCTCGTTTCATAGGAGAACCAGACACTATACGGGTTTCAACGCTACAATCCAAACAGTACAGCTCAATCCTGTGGCGTAACCACATAGGTACCAAGCACCCTGATGAACCATTCACATCATTCATATACACATTCACACCATATGTATAATCATTCCAAATAGTGATTGCGTAAATCATGCCACAACAGAAATAATAAATCCAATTTTTAAATATTTGGTAGTAAACATTTGGATAACATATTCAAACCGAGTAATATTAAAGATTGCCAGTATAGTGCTTTAACAATCGATTGTTATAGAGTATGTTCCGAGTATTTCATGCTTGGTATCTTTATCAAATCTCTAAAAAATGAATGGAACAGCAGTTTGCTTAATTCTGAATGTAGGTACACCGCAATATGATCACTTACTGTTAAGCCAATGAAAGCAAGATAATACAGTGTAATGAACGACAACACAAGCATCAAAAACTGAATGTGTTCCAACACAAAAGTATAGAGCGTCTTAGTTAAATCTAAAAACCATACAGTAAATAGTTCAGTTGGAAAATGTCAGTCAATCGTCCCAGACTTGATTGTTCCTTCGTTTCCACGCCGATCGTTCTCTATTCTTGTTCTCTTTTTCTTTGATCTTGTTAACCTTCTGCCACCAAACATTTCACTTTTGATTGATGATATATACTATTTACATCTATTGACATCAGTAGCATATACCACAATAGGTTTTAATTAGACTATTCAATGCCCCCAAATGCCCTGGTACGGCCGAGAGTTATAATAGCCCGCCCTCTCTCTCGAAATGCTCTCACACGGCCACGCGTATACAGCTTCTGCTAGGGAAGTCCTACTCACTGCCTTGTCGTACCACGGATGTTGCTTACGAAATTAACAGGACGAAAAGCGAATGTCCTGCGCTTTAACCTGTTTGCTGGACACGGAAAGTTCACCTAGGTGAGTTGAAAAACCCTCATTCCAAACTAATGGTGCACATGGGCTCCAGGATCCTGAGGGAACAAATGGCATATGCGTCAATCGTTGATCACCTGCCACCATCGGACTTCATCTCCTCACGATGCTCATCAGCTTGATGTACAACACCAAGTTATTCACTTAGCTACTGTGTCCTGATCATCAACTGCTTATGCATATATACATATATATATACTTACTTTTGTAATTTCTTTTCTTTTTCTTTTTTTAATTGTGAACTCAATACTCTAGCTGCTTCTAAATCAAGTACAGTTTTATCCACAGTACGTTTTAATGCTTCAAACTAAATACAATAAACAAAAGCAGATAAACAAAGATACAAACAATCTACTTAAATTCAATGTTTCATATATGAAAATAAACAAGATTTGAATCCATGAAAGTTTTCATAACTCACTTGATTGAAAGTGGTAGATCCAATTTGTTGTTGTATCTATTCAGAATCCGTACTCTTTTAAGAGTACTACTGTACTACTGTAATGTGTACTACTGATATCAAAAGATGTAAGTAGTATGTATCAACAATGGAAAATGAAATATCTGGCGGTAGAATGTTAAGAAGATCAAAGAGAAGAGAAAGAGAATAGGCAGTGATTGATATGCAAACGAAGTAACAATCAAGTTTGAGACGATTGATTAACATTAAACAAAGGATGCATTTATTGTATGTTATTGTATGACCTAGCCCTCCTATATCATACACACGAACAAATACAGATGAAGACAGCTAATGTAGCAGCAGCCTCTGCATCAATAGGCTTCAACATGCACAAAGGAAAAAGCAAGATTCTCAAATACAACAGGGAGAACACCAACCCAATCACACTTGATGGAGAAACTTTGGAAGAGATGAAAACATTCACGTACCTGTGAAGCATCGTTGATAAACAAGGAGGATCGGATGCAGATGTCAAGGCTAGGATTGGCAAAGCAAGGGCAGCATTTTTACAATTGCAGAACATATGGAACTCAAAACAACTGTCAACTAATTTCAAAGTAAGAATCTTCAATACGAACGTCAAGACAGTCCTACTGTACGGAGATGAAACGTGGACAACCACTACATCTATAGTCAAGACGGTACAAGTATTTATAAAGAGTTGTTGACACGAAATACTCAACATTCACTGGCCTGATACTATCAGCAACAGCGCTTTATGGGAGAGGACAAATCAGCTTCCAGCTGAAGAGGAAATTAGGAAAAGACGTTGTAAGTGGATAGGACATACATTTCGGAAATCACCAAACTGCATCACGAGGCAATCCCTAGCCTGGAATGGTGAAGGGAAGCGGAAAAGTTGTATGTCAAAGAACACATTACGCCGGGAGATTGAAGCGGATATAAAAAGTATGAATAACAACTGGAAACAACTTGAAAAGATTGCCTAGGACAGAGTTGGATGGAGATTGCTGTTGTGCGGCCTATGCTCCTCCACGAGAGGTAACAGGCGTAAGAAAGTAAGTAAGTAAGTAAGTCTGAGGTTTTACCAAGATATTCTGTAATTTTTTGTTCAAATTCATTAGATTGACCTCACTTGTATTCTCATTCATCAGACTATGCTCTGTACAACTGGTTGACTGTAAGTTGCTGATAAGAAGATCTAAATAGTATATTACGTTCATTAATATTTAATATCATATTGTAATGTGTGCTACTTATATCGACATAAGTAGTATATAACGTCAATCAAGAATAGAATGCTTAGCAGTCGAAGGTTGAGAATATTGAATAGGAAAGAATGGGAACAGAAAGCATTTAGTATGGAAATGAAGGAATAATGAAATATGAGACAATGAATGAACATTTTGTTAATGGAGTGTTTGAGTATGGTTTTCTATATTATCAAGTAGGTGTAATTTTTTGCTAAATGTAATCGGTTGTCCTCACCTGTGTTGTCCTTCACTGCAATACAACCATGGTATATATTGCTATGTAAAAGTCCTATCTCACCTGTTTCCGCATCGAGATTTTGTGTCTACTGTACAAACGTCTCATGTGTACGGACTATCCAAGTTGTTTAATCCTAATCATTCACTATATGGCATACCTTCTGACCGTTGATGCTACCATGATATGGTGGTCAGACTTGCCTGTTGCGACGAATCAGTCGAGCTATACTGGTTGGAACAATCGTTCTTCAAGATCTTACCATGCTAGACAGGTTGGTTGAAGAGCAGTATGGCCAATAACATCAGCAATAGACCTCAACATATAAAAGGGGAAAAAGCAAAGTCCTTCAATACAACTCAGAGAACACCAACACAATCACACTCGATCGAGGTAATCTGGTTGAGGTGGAAAGTAACATGTATCTGAATAGCATCATCGATGAACAAGGAGGATCTGATGCAGATGAAAAGGCGAGGATTAGCAAAGCGAGGATACCATTCGTACAATTAGAGAAAATATGCAACGCAAAACAACTCTCAAGCAATATCAAAGTCACAATCTTCAATACGAATATTAAGACAGTTCTACTGTACGGAGCTGAAACTTGGACAATTACCACAATCATCATCAAAAAGGTATAAGTATTTGTAAACAATTTTCTGCACAAGATACTTAACATCCTTTGACCGGGTACCATAAGCAACAGCCTACTGTAAGAGAGAACAAACTTAACTTCCAAATAAAGATGAAATTGAGAAAATATGATGGAAGTGAATAGGACATACACTACGGAAATCAACAAACTCCATCCCGAGACAAGCCCTAACTTGGAATCCTAAAGGCAAATAAAAATTAGGAAGGCCGAACACACTGCTTCGATAATTGGAAGCAAATATGAAAAGGATGAATAGCAACTGGAAAGAAGTGGAAAGGATTGTTTAGGACAGAGTTTCATAAAGAATGCTGTTGGGAGTCTTATGCTCTTCCATGAGGGGTAACAAACGGAAGTGATTCAGTAAGTAATCCTGTGTTACAGAAATAAAGAAAACTTGCTCGAAATATGCGTAGCATCAGGTAAAAGCATGACACAGCAAAACGGACGACGAGAAAGGAAATAAATAGATTATGAGTAGAGGAACCAGAACAAATATCGAAAAAGAGGTATAAACTTAGGGATTAATGAATCACTGCAACGTAGAAATGATTGAAGATAACTCATACTACTTATTATTATTAAGTAGTGTCATTTCATATCCGAAAACGTAAGTGAGGGAGGCATCAGAAGGTATGGTTTCAGAAAGCATACATTTTAAAATAGGAAATCCACCATAAAATTAAAGGCTGTATTACTTACTTTTAATATTGATTTAAAAGATATCATCGCTCATCACTTGCTAGTGTTAGTTATAACCTAGACCTGATAACTGAATATCATGATATTTAGGATATAACCAACTTAACTAATAAAACACACCATGATACATAACTTTTGTGTGGCCTTCTAAACCTATCCCATGTTTATCTGCAACTCCGCCTGTAGTTCTTCTAGAGTTACTGCCGGTCCCAAGAGCCCGGGTAAAGGAAGAGGGTTGGGCATGGGGTTAGCGACCCCCATCCTGTAGAAAAACTAACTCGCGAAAAAAACGCTAACCAGAAAAATTATTATCTTTATCTATAGATTTCGGTGGCGTTTGTATTTAGTACATTGCGTGCATAAAGCCCTCAATTACTATATAATGTCACTGATACCCGATTTTCGGAGCTTATTTCGCTTATAAACAATGACATTTTTTAATATGCCTAGAGAAATATCATTTACCTGTACAGGTACTTATAGCGTAGAAACAATTACCCCCCTCTCCCTTAGTTACTAAAAGATAGACAATAATAATGACAACATTCAACCAACTTGGAGTTATGAAGGACCACAGAATGAAATAGATTTTAAATGAAAAGTATCTAATGAAGATTACATAATGAATAGTAAACAAGATTCAATAAAATAGTTAAGGAAGAAATATGAACTGTGAACTCCTGCTAAGTTGATGTGTTAGGATGGTAATTGAACTGTTTCCTAATTGTATATATGTATCCTGTGGAGATTGCGATGATGTTTCCTTAAAATATAAGCATTTTACGTAAATATGAATAGTGTCTGGCAGTGCAATCCACGATGTACGTTTCTTCTGATTTGGAACTTTCAGCTGGATGTACCCGCATCCTATACTTCAAATTCATGCTATGGCTCGAACCCAATACCGTTCGCTTCAAATGTTATCGCGTTATCTCAACGACTGAGTCCTCATAGCCAATGCCTTGTGAAATGTGGTCAAGTTTAAATTCATTATGTATTGTTTATTTGATTCTTCCCAGTGATGTGTTAGGATTGTAATTCATCAGTCCATTATTGACATATGTGTATCCTGTGGAGAACGCTTCAAAATCGCCTTAAGTGATAAGCATTATAAGTAAAGACGGTTATTGTCTAGCAGTGGAATCTGTTTTTTTTCTGGATAGCGTTTTCCGAGCGCAAGACTGGTAGGTCCTGAGTTCTAACCCCGCGAAGTGGGGTGCGCACTGCTGAGCAGCCAAACAATAGGACGAAACGGTCGTCCAGTGCTTGCAGGTTTTCCATGGTGGTCTAGCCTCAATTGACTCATGGTCTTAACTATATAAAATTCTCCTAGCGGGTTAGTTTTCTACGTTATGAGGTCGCTAATCTAATGCCCGAACCTCCTACTTTATCGGGGGTTTCAGACCGGCAGTAACCTCAGAGGTACTCCAGGCGGAGTCAGCAGTTTCAATACAAATGTAAAGACAGTTCTACTGTATGGGGCGGAAACCTGGAGAACAAAGAAAACCATCATCCAGATGATGCAAGTGTTTAATAACAGTTGTCAATGCAAAATACTTCGGATCCGTTGGTCAAACATTATCAGCAATAACCTACAGCGGGTGATAACAAATCAGATTCCAGCGGAGGAAGAATTCAGGGAGACGCACTAGAAGCGGATAGGACACACATTGAGGAAAGCATTCAATTTCGTCACAAAGCAGGTTTTAAAATGGAATCCTGAAGGCCAAAATAAAAGGGGAACTCAGAAAAACACATCACGCCAAGAAATGAAGACAAACATGAGAAGAATAAGCAACAATTGGATAAAACTAGAAAAGAAAGCTGAGGATAGAGTGGGTTGGAGAATGCTGATCAGCGGCGTGTGCTCGTTTGGAAGTACCAGGTGTCAGTAAGTAAGCAAGTAACTGGTATCCATCTTTCCTTACACAGTTTATTCGGTTAAAAATCCGTATTCTGATCATATATCCATGAATAGGTTACACATTTCAATAAAGTAAACTTTGTTACACACAAATCATCCTATTCAATAATTCATACAACAGATACCTCACTATGAAAATCTTGTCTTTTCATTTCAGCATTCATTAAATCTTCTTTATATTGTGTTATATCTTTAATTATTTCATTTAAATGTTGTTGAACTTCAGAATTATTATCCATTTGTAAATGAAGAAAATTTAATTTCTCTTTATTTAATTGTTTTTGTTCACATATTTGTGTTTTCATTTGATTAAGGCGCTAAAAATGAACAAACAAAACAACAACAATATATTCAATACAAATTAAATATCAGATTGGAAGGTTTCGTGGAGATTTTAGTAATTTTATATAATGGAGAAGATTTGTAACTTAGATGGGTGATTTTGATGTTGGTTTGTTCTCTGAGCTTGATGGTTTGATTGTGGAGCTTTCATCATCCTTCTGAACGACATCATCAGCATAAAATTAAGGTAGAAGTGAAGTGTTTGAATTTCTCCACATGTGATTCACAGCTTGTCTACTGCACCTCGATGTTGATTGGTTCTTATTGACCTTAAATCTGTCATTGTTTATTTCTTTGTTTTGATTGTATCTCCTATTGGTTTGATTTTTGTTCCTATGTTCCTGCATAATTATCTTGATTTTTTGATAGATTGGATTGATTTCAATCAATCAAACCAAAACAAAGAAATAAACAATGACAGATTTAAGGTCAATAATAACCAATCAACATCGAGGTGCAGAGGACAAGCTGTGAATCATATGTGGAGAAATTCAAACACTTCACTTCTACCCGAAGTTTATGCTGATGATGTCGTTCAGAAGGATGATGAAAGCTCCACAATCAAACCATCAAGCTCAGAGAACAAACCAACATAAAAATTTTATATACTGTTAAGATCATGAGTTGTGGATGCGCACTGCCACTGAGGAGTCTCACAATAAGACGAAACGGCCGTCAAGCAGTACTTCTAGGTTTTCCATGGTGATCTAGCTATAATTGACTCATGATCTCAACTATAAATAAATTAAATCACTGTTCTCTTTTTGATTACGTCGCAACTGTAACTTTAAACAAATTGTTCCTGGTAAAAATTAAATTTCAATGACTTAACAAAACAATTAGCAATAGATTGACTTGTGAATGATTACATAATAAAAATAGTGTTAAATCTGTTTTACGTTCTCTGCCATTATTCTCACCTCATCAGCTCGTTTATTGTGTTTTTTCTTTTATACTACTTGATAATATTCAGTAGATAGTTGTGTTGCTAAACATTTCTAGGCAAAAGTTGTAACACAGGTTTGTTGTGTTTTACATACAATTATAACACTTGTTGTGTTTATCATGATAATTACTTTATCACAATCATTGTAGCAGTTATTCTCAATCGTTTAATCCTTGTTTAAATATAACGGATTCCTTATTGCTTACTCTTAGTTTAACTTTTACTTGTTGGTAAACCGTTATCAAGATTGTTTTGGGGAGATCCAGAAAACTCCACGCAAAAAAAGTTGGAAAAGGCTTTGAAAACATTGAGAAGCATCATAATCAATCAGCATTCAATAGACGTTTTGCCCAAAAAATCTAGAAAGTGCAAAGTCACAAATCGGGTTTCTGATTGGATGATTACATATACTGCTACTGTAGTGAACAAAACACCGCTTGGGGACAATCGAATGTATTTAAGCAAAGATTACAGACTATCTCAGTAAATTCTGATTACCAAACAATGAACAGTCAATTTGCAAATTAACAACCAATAGTCTCGATCTTCACTGTTTCTTCTCTTATTCCATTGCTCATGCATTTTCCAAACGATTGCGCTTTATTTCAGTTCTTTGTTCACCGGTCTACTGCCAAAATACATTCTATGTCTGACCCACACCATATACTACTTATATGGATATAAGTAGACTACACCACACTACTATGTATGGTAGCGTTCTAGAATCTTCTGGAAACCTAAGGTCATCTTAAATACTATAAAAACTCTAGATTTTCTATTCATAAATAAAACTTTGGAGTGAAGCATTTTTTTTCCACATTTCATACGTTTTCCCTCATGTTCACATCACTGTGTAGATCTAGCTTGAGGGTCAAAAGAAGAGTTTAGGAACAGAATCTGGCGTTCAATTTGAAGACTTATCATCGAGATTTATTTCATCTTCGGACATCAAAGGACATATTTCAATTATACAAATATACATATAGGCTTTAAAAAAACATACCTGTGAAAAGTGATCCAATTGAATATCACGTTGTCTCATTTGATTAATTACATTTTCCCATTGTTTAATTAAACCATCTCTTTGATTATATGCTTCTTTAACTTCTTTAGTTATATTATCAAATTTGACTTGATCAACTAATGTATTTGTATAAGTTGTATCTAATTTAGATTTTAATTCATTTCGAGTATTTGTTAATTTCTCTAGTTCTAAATCAAGTTCCTAATTGAAGAAAATTATTTTGTTAAAATAGCGCTAAATTGAATGTAGTTAATACCAAACAACAGAAAATTGTGTGTTCAAAAATTACACTACTAGTAAGTAGTTCAAATAAAAATACAAAATATTTTACGTACACATCTTACACGACTTACCATGGTACCTAACTATTTTCATAAAAAGATGATGTCCTAGATGAACTATCGTGTTTATTCTGGTTGTAGAAGCGGTTGAATCTAAATTTTTGGAGTGAATGTGTAAGTTTATTCAACAATGTAGTTACGTTGTTAGTTTTAGTATTTTAATCGTTCATATTAATGATTTGTACAGGTCAAAGTTTTGGTCTTCAATGGGTTAATGAAGTATTTCAGAGTACCATGAAGGATTGTAGGCGAGACTGAACTTCATGGACGATCTGTAAACGAATCTTGAATGACTTTGAGAACTATTTGCCAATCAGAAGACAGTTAGTATACAGCGAAGATACAAAACTAAAAAATTAAAGCGGATACCGTTCTTTTACATGGCTAATAAACTTCTCAAGGTCAGATATAGGTTCAGAAGTTCTATAATCATAGTGCATACGGTACAGGAACTCATCCATATGGCTCCATAGTAGTCGACCTCTGGAACCATGATAAGGTCTTAAAAATTCTATTAGCCTCGACCACACAGCTTCAGTGTTGTTGTTATGGGTTAAGGTTTAGAGTTAAAGTTTAGGGTTAGGGTCTTAACCTTATTCGTGATCGAGCGAGAAAAGTCATTTGTGTATCACATTCACATATATAGGAACTTCGAAATAATCACTTCTCTTATAGACGCTGAATTATCACATCTTCTCGTAAATCCGTCGTAAACTGATTGTACGTGAGCATCAGGTACTGAACTTATCGCCGTGACCTTCAAAACCGGCGTCAGCTTCTGATTTGATCGTCAGTAAAGTTTAGTCCTGCCCTCTACGGTTATTGATAGTATGGGCTACGTTTCTAGTTTCTAATTTCAGTATGAAAATTAACATACATATAGGTATATGTACCTGTTCTATCCTGAACAAGAATAAACAAAATTCCTGTATTATACTACTAATCACAATTCAAGTTCACTAAAAAGTTAATGATCATAGTTCATTAAAATATCAGGCTATGAACTGTAGTTATTACGTATGAAATGAAAATACAGATCAGTAATCTAACTATTTAGACCATAGAAACTAGATTGTTGTTAGTGAGTTCCAACACTTGTCCATCCACTAGCGTTGGATACCGAATCAATTGCTAGAAAATAGAGAAAATTTTAAACAAGACTTAAAGTTTCTTGACTCGATCGCATATAACAGGATGGTTGTTCACTGAAAACATGTCACTCTAACGAGGAGAGTATAACTGGTCAGTTCCTCTTCATTACTAATGACTTTCTATTTGAATTCGGTTTATAATATAAATGACTTTCGAAATATGCAAACTCTAAACTACCTCTCTCAATTAAAATAATGTATGCGCTGGAATTGAGACGTCAGTATCTCATGCTGAACATTCATTTGGTTAATATAGTTGATAGGCTAAATCAAGACAATAATTACATACCTATAGTATCTACGCATTCCTACAATTGAAGAAAATATGCTACTCAAAACAACTCTCAACTAATATCAAAGTCTTAATCGTCAGTACGAACGTCAATACAGTTCTATTGTACGAAGCTGAAACGTAGAGAACTGCAACGACCATCATCAAAAACATATAAGTATTTATAAACAATTGTCTACACAAGATACTCAATATCCGTTGACCGGATACCATCAGTAACAACCTACTATGGGAGAGGACAAACTGGTTTTCAACTAAAGAGGAAATTAAGAAAAGACACTGGAAGTGGACATGACAAACATTGAGGACATCATCAAACTGTATCACGAGGCAAGTCTCAACTTGCAATCCTGATTGGAAACGGAAAAGTGGAAGACTAAACACACTGTATCGGTAGTTGGATGCAGACATGAAAAGGATGAATAGCGACTGAAAATAACTTGAAAGAATCGTCGAGGTCAGAGTTGTATGAAGAGTGCTAAATGATGGCCTATGCTCTTCCACGAGTAGTAAAATGCTCAAGTAAATAATAGTCTTTAATCAACACATCTATATGAAAAGGTAGTTTTGTTGATATTTTAGTAATTTTATATAGTTAAGATCATGAGTCAATTGAAGTGTTCTAGAGCTAAACTGATAGGTCCTCAGTTTAAATCTCGCGAGGCGGGATCATGGATACTCATTGCCATTGAGGAGTCCCACAATAGAACGAACCAGCCATTAAGCAATGCTTCCATGTTTTCCATAATGTTCTAGCTTCAATTGACTTATGATTTCAACTATATAACATCTATATGAAATGTGTTTTCTTTCAACTTACTTTAATCTTTGTATTATCTTGTTTAATATATTTTTCAATAATTTTCATATCTTCATCATGTTCACCAATTGTTTTCATAAGATTTTCCAAAAAATTTTTATCTGAATCAATATTCACTGAAGAATTTTCTAATTCTTTCCTTTTTTGATTAAATAAAGTCTAAATAGAGAAGCAAATAAATAGAAAAATAAAAGATAATCAAGAACATTTTATATACTACTATTCACTTAATAAAGTAGTTCGATAAAGCCATTTTATCCTACTAATACATTCATAGAGGTTTTAATATGAATATCTAGCATGTATGCAAGACTATTATGGTTTGAAGGGTAATTCCAAAAGTATGATCCAATAATCTACAAAGTTCTAATTCTGAGAGAAAGAATTATTTGATAAATATTACTTCTGATATTGTTACGTCTGTTTTACGTTCTCTGTCACTATACTCACCTCATCACCTCATTTTTTGTGTGTATTGTTTTACACTACTTATTAATATTCAGTAGATAGATTTACTACTAGCAATTTCTACGCTTAGGTTGTGACGCAAATTTGTCGTGTTTTACATTACTTATAACACTTGTCGTATTTATTATGATAATTACTTTATCACAAATATTGTAGCAGTTATTCGCAATCGTTCAATCCTTGCTGAAATGTAGAAGTTTACCTATTGCTTATTCTTAGTTCAATTTTCGCTTGTTGATAAACGATTATCAAGTTTAGACACCGCTAATGGCTGTCATTTGACACTATCTGAGCCTTTTTGTTTCAAACAAAAAGACGGGATAAACTCCACAGAAACTTTATAAGTTGAGGTTTGTAACTAACTTTTGTATATTATTCAATAAAGAATCGCTAGTGTAGACAAATTGTTGTTTTGTGAACAACGACTTTGCACGTATCTCAATTGGGTGATTTGGACGCTTCGATAGACTTAACAAATATACGCTTATAACTAGCTTGGAGTTATAATAGGTAAAGAATGGACTGTGTTGTTCCGGTTCATCAAACAGTAGGATATATTGTCCTATACGATCTCTCAAATAATGCAGTTGGAAGAATCAAGACTGGATTAACTCTGCTTCAATGCTGGCTTTTAATTAAGACACTTCGTATCATCTTTATATCTCAATTTTTTGATACATTGTAAAGTGTATACATAAGCACGATGTATACCCTGAGAAGTTATCGAAGAATAAAGCTAAAAATAGCACCAAGACTCATAAATCTCGTCAGTGGTTTAATTCAGAATTTTATCATTTTGATTACGTCAACTACTTTGGATTATGAGAAACCATCAGATACTAACATCAAACTTGTCCAAGTGGAAAAAAATTATAAAGGAGTCACAAATATTCACTACAAGTTTGTCCTAGAAAATCAATCTCATTCTCTCCTCTTCGATTTTCTCAATCTTCTGCTGACAAGCATTCTAATTTTGATTAGTGGCATATGCTACATATGTTTGTCAATATCAGTAGCACTCAACACAATCGGCCTCTTCCAAACAGTCGATTTTGGGTTGGTTCTGCCCACCGTGTCACTTTCTTTTCTTTTCTGTAGCCTGCGATACACTCTCTGTCAAAATGTTGAGTCTGCAGCGAGCTGACTTTCATAACTCCGTCGACCCGTCGGATTATCAAAGTGGGATGTCAACCCAGCAACCAGGATGTTCAACGCCTTTGTCCCTGTGACTCACTGAGCCGCCTACATCCGATGTCCACTCACAGGACAACCAAGTCATCGCTCATGGAAAGCAACTGATCCAGCCAACGTCACCTCGTCAGAACACTATCTGTTAACTAATGTTAGTTTTATTTGAAGCAGTCCTGTAAAAAATACTGGCACACCTTCTGTAATATGTGTTTTGATAACCCCTTTTGTCCAAGTATGGTACTCTTCAATAGTGAACACCCACGATCCTCTAGACTTCTAAGCCGGCACCCAGCAGTCCTAATATTTGACATCAACCAATCCATCATATTACGCCACCGTCTACTATTGTCACCAGTAAGTAACTATCTCACAACAGACACGGTTGAACTCCACTATACATGGATGATTCAGACTGCTGAAGTATCCTATAGTAAGATGAAACAGCCATTCAATGCTTCCAGGTTTTTCCATAATTAACTAATTTTTAATCAACTTATGCATTCAGTAAACAAACATAGATAGTAGCTTGTAGTGGAATATAGGACAAGCGTTTCGTCTTATTTGGGACACTCCAGCTAGATGTGCCTACATCTCAAAGTTGATGTTCACTATGAGACTCAAAACTAGTACCTTTCGCTTTAAACACCATTGCTTTATCCACTTAGCTGCTGGGCCCTAATAGCCACCTGCTTATATAATAGGGTGAAGTTTGACTTCATTTGGTGTTGTTTACGTGTATCGTCCCATTGTTGCTATGGACTGCAATTGATCAGTCTCTTATTGGCCATATGTGCATCTTATGCGGACTGCTTCGATATTGTCTGAAGTCACAAACTTTATAAGCAAAGATGGATAGTGGCTAATAGTGGAATCCAAGACGTGCGTTTCGTCCTATTTAGGACTCGTCAGCTGGAAGTATTTGCATCTTAGAGTTAATATTCACTCAGGGACTAAAACCTAGTATCAAGAAACATATAGATGAACTTTATATTCAATGATGGATAGTGGTCAGCAATGGAATCCAAGACGCAAGTTTCGTCCTATTTGAAACTCGTCATCTGGATATACCTACATTTCAGAGTTGATATTCACTCAGGGACTCGAACCCAGTACTAAGGTACACATAGATAAACGTTATATGCAATGATGGATAGTGATCAGCAATGAAATCCACTAACACACGTGTTTCGTCCCAGTTGGGACTCATCAGCTACATATACAATTATCATTTTAAACTTACCTCTAAATAACTTTTCTTTTCAATAATATCATTATATAATTTGGTAATCTTTGTATTCTCTTTTATTAAATGTTCATATTCACATTCAATTAATTTAATATGATGTAATACTTCATTAATTTCTTTATTACGTATATTACATAATTGACTTGTAGATTGTATTTCTTGTTGTACATTTTTCATATAATTTCTTAGTTGTTCAACTTTACAATGTTCAATATCTAATTGATTAGTACGTTGAAATAACAAGTTTTGTAATTCATCAAGCTGAGGTTTGTTTGTTTTTTTTTTGTGGGGGGGGGGGGGGGGAAAGAAAATTGAAGGCGAAACAACAACAATAGATAAGTATTTAAAACATTCTATATATAGTTGAGAATATGAGTCAATTGAAGTTAGACTACCATGGAAAACCTGGAAGTAGTGGATGACAGTTTTGTTCTATTGTGGAACTCCTCAGCAATGTGTGATAATACCGTTGGATACCGGTTGAGTGATCTAGTGATTAGGCGCTCGAGCGCGAGATTGATTGTTATATGTCGTGGAGAATTATGAATGCTGACTTTTGAGAACTATGTACTGATCAATATGATATGTATATTTCCTATTGTATAATTGTTAAGTAAATTAATTATTCAAATTCATATCTCTCTTATTATAAGCTTTATTTTGACCTATGGACTATTACTGTACGATTTGCCATTCTTGAGTTATCCCTATTCCATTAATTACTGTCCTCCCTATTCACAGCCACATTTGGCTAAATCATGTACAAATGTTATTTTCTATTTCATGGTACGATGTGGTCCGTTTGGTTGGTATATAAGCCCAGTATGTTTGAGATATAATGATTTATATCACAGAGACTGTTATTGCTGTTCTGGACTTAACTGGTTGGGCTAGGTAGATAGCAGGACTGATAAGTACTCTAGACTGCTCAATACGGCTTTTGTGTATCATTACTCTGATCAATAAATTCACTGTTCTCTAATTGGCCGTCTTATAACGTCATATATATCAACAGGGCAAGAACACACTCAAGCAATAGATATAACACTGATATGTCCTGAGTTCGAATCTCGCTAGGCGTACTGCTAAGGAGTCCCACAATAGGACGAAACAGCCGTCCAGTGCCTCTAGGCTTTCCATAGTGGTCTAGCCTCAATTGACTCATGATTTCAACTATATGAAATTACTTAAAATCTCCACGAAACCCCCTTTTAATTTAAAACATTTATCAGAAAATAAATGAGAAATCTACTCAAAATCATTTTATAATATTCAAAAGTGTCGGCAATCAATTCATTTGGTATTGTTTGCTTGTATCTTCTTATTGTTGTTTAGAAGTGACATTGATCAGTCTCTTGTTAGCATATGTGCTTCCCATACGGATTGCTTTGATATTATCTTTGAGTTAAAAGCATTCTAAGCGTAGATGGATACTGGCTAGCAGTGGAATCCAGGACGTGCGAAGTTGATGTTCACTCCGGGATGCAGGTATATACAGCTGACGAGTTCCAAATAGGATGAAACATACGTTCTGGTTTTCACTGCTAGCCATTATCTATCTAAGCTTATAAAGCTAATATCAGTAATTGTTTCTGAAAACTTCAAGGAGTTGAAAGTATCTTTGTTTTATTTTTCTAGTCTTTAGTGATTAACATCCTTGATAAATTTCAATAAATTTCAAAATTTTGTGTATTTATATATCTTTCTAATTTGATAATGTCGCCAATACTGTTACTATCCCTACTACTTTGGGATTTAGCCTAACAACTTAATCTCTCTGTGTTAATTGAGTACAGCAACTTGAACCGATGTATATACGCATCAGGTTCTGTGTTATGACTGACTAACTGACTTTTTAAAAATAAATATATGGGAATTTTGATGTGATTCTCCAGTGAAATACTATACAAATCTCCCTACTTTTAGAACTGTTTTTCAAGATCTTTCGATCCAGTACGAGTTTACTGGTCAAATTTAAATGCATAATGTAGTCCTTAAGCCACTATGAGTGTATGAGCGTCAGTAAAAGTTACAAATTGATCATACGTCGGTGAATGGAATGGAGTTTGAAACTGTCATAGAATCTCGTGAAGATTCAACACTGAAAAATGTAAAGGCTCTATAAGGAGGACTAAATATGAAGCTGAATATTTGATGGCGAATACCACTCAACTCTGAGAATTAAATATGATTACCTTTAATGTATAAGAAAGGGTATTCAAAATTCCCACCGACTTTGCATATACAATGTAATACTCATAAACCATACCACTTTCTGACGGTGCTCTTGATTACACTTATTTTTAATGATTATCCTAAACTAGTTTGATGATCAAAAATCGTTATGACCTAGGTTTTTCATCCGTTAATGACAACTGGAAACTTAGACACAATGAAAATCTCTTAGTAAATTCTATATCAATCAAATCACCATAGTATATATATATATATGTTTAAAGAAAGGAAGTATTAGAGAAGCAATATCGAGGTTTATCAAATGTTTAATTTCATATATAGCAGAAAGAACTCCGCGTGTAGCTCTTTTAGAGTTGCTGCCGGTCCCAAGCCCGGATAAAGGAGGAGGGTTGGGCATGGGGTTAGCGACTCCATCCTGTAGAAAAACTAACTCGTTAAAAAAATGTTAACCAGAAAAATAATAGCAGAAAGGGAATGTTCCTACTGTAGTGACATAGATTTCAATGAATTAATAAACGATATGGATAACATTTGAAACATACAAACAAAATTACTCTCGCCCTATTTTTCAAAGCAAACGATATTCAAGGATATGATACACAACTTTAAAAGGAAAAAGCAAGGTCGATAAAGTTTAAAGGCATCGAGAAGTAGAGCGATAAAATTGATCTCACTAGATGATGGTTAAATAAGTTGGCTAACAAAGCTGTGGACCACGGAGTTTTGATTCATTGGTTTACATCGTGAAGTTTCCAGTCACCAGGCTTGATTGCTTGTAGGATTCAGGGCAGAAAACTCCTGGAAGTTCTAAATTTAAGCCCCTAGTGATGCCCTGGTTCCAGCGGTTTATAACTTGATGTTGGGTTCTCGTGAAAGTTAGATTCGATACAAAATTTTCGCAGAACTGTATTTTGATAAAAATAAATGGTTTGTAAGTGTCAACTTGTCAAGTTCTAACTAACAGTAGAAATATAGACTAAACAAGTATTATGATTAACTCCGCCTGTAGCCCGTCGCCAAAAAACGCTAACCAGGAAAAGTTATTGAAACCATTTAAGAGTATTATGATTTTGATCAACTTAACAGAGGACTATTTGGATAAAACAAAGAGTTTTTGTTATTTTATTCACCTTTCTTGTTATCCAGTTTTAATTAAACACATACTCACACCAACAATCTGGAGATAAGTTAGCTGGTGTTATATGAACATGTTTTCTGATGTCTTGAATTTTGGCTTAATTCAAAATCTAAACTAACATAACAAGGTTAATGAAGTGAATATTTTACACTATACACTTTTGCCTTGAACAGAATTCAGATAGTAGACAAAGATCCAGAAACCTTTATCAGGCTAAAGCGGCTTACAATAATACATTGGTTAAGATCGACGGACACAGACTCGAAAAAAACAACAAACGTTTTTCAGAGAGAAATGAAGTCAACATAATTTTAAGGGTTTTGGGAAAAATAATGATTATTTCTTTCTCGTGATTGTCATAGCTCTTAAACTTTATTACAGCTATAAAAGAAAGAGAAGGTATCTTGCACTGTTACACATGACTTCCATCTTCAAATATTAAAATTGTCATCTAATTTGGCACCAGTATGTTACTCTGAATACCAATACTGTTGTAGCTGTAAATAAATCCTCAAAACCAACAGCTCCGTAAGTGTTCGATATTGGATGCTGACCACGTGTTTAAGTGGACTTGTTTAGCTGAAGGCTTTCGGTCATGCATCCGTACCAGATGACGTTTCGACTCGGCGTGGGACACAGCTCCTACGTTTCATTAGCCAGCTCATAGAAAAGGTCCTCGATATATTGGTAACGAATCAAATATATCTTTCCTGCCTCTTCTCGCCTGACTTCTGATTTCTATCTGACTGGGACAATCGAATTTAGAAGGTGCTACTGGTATCTAGTTGTAAAACTAGAATATCTGTTGCATCATCACCTGACATGAATCGATTGGACCCTAAGGCAAAGTATAAAATAAGAATATGACAACGCCAAAATATCTATTTGCAGGAACCTTGCTTATTATGTACATTACGGCATTTAAGTATTCATAATATTAGAAAATACGGATTGCAAATATGATAACTTAGTTAACGAAGAATCAATGACGACGGGTTTTAAGACTGATAACTATGCTTCCCAAATTTAAGCGACATGAATTGTATCTACAAAGCCGTCTTTATGGCTATGAACAAGAAGATTCGGAGAGTAAAAAGAAATAATCGCAAATCAATGTTTCTCACTAAATGCAAAAATCCACCCGAAATTCACCAACATATCTAAGACTTCTTTCAACGACTGCGTTACTTTCTGTGGTTTTAAGCTTTCTGGATATAATGAGGAGTCTCAAAACAAAAGTAGTCCTCTCCATCCTGTTAGTCTTGTTGTTTACGTTGTGTTCAGACAGATAATCCTAGTTTACTCTGTTTTGCTTGCGCCAGTGAGTGTGAGGTGGTGATGTAAAGCAATTATTCATAAAAACTGTGCATTTCAGTCGAGCTAGTACATCAGGCACAATAAATTAAATTAAAGCTGGATAGCATCTTATCGCCGTACTGTTAACAAGAGGTTGTTTATTTCGTTGTTACGTTTTTCACGTGGTAGTTAATTTTGACTCAAATCCCAAGCGAAACCAGTGCAGCACATTTTTAGGCAAAAAATTAAGTATGTCGTTGAATAACTATTCATCGATGGGCATACAAAAGTAACGACACTCACGTACCTTTGTAATAAGTTTTTGGTTTTCTTCATTTGCAACGGGAATGGCATGGGCTTCATTCCATCCTAATTCAGCAAGAATCGTCGATATATGCGACTGATTTGGGGACGGCATTTTAAATTTGCTCACATAGGTGTTATGACAATTTTACGCTATAGAATGATTTAAACAAATAGAGGAAAGATTGAATGATATTCTTGACAAGTTTATTCGAGGTATAATCCATAGTACTATAGAGCTGGTCAGAGGATGCGATATATAAGATAAATAAAAAAGATCTCCAGTGAGCTTAATATTGAAGTGTACAATCATAAGCTCGTTAAACTTCGAGAAATGTTTTGACTGTATCATAAACTTTGAATACCGTTCATACCTTCTCACAGAATTAGGCACTTAAAATTTAACATGCATTCTGCAGATACCCATCTAAGTTGCTCGAGATTGTAATGAACAATGTATATTGAAATCTGCACTATAAATCCTTAATGTCGCTGTAAAACTAGTTAATAATTGGTTAGAATAATTAAGGGGATGTGTATTCTATCCGCTTGCTACGGATTTCGGTCAATAACACTGACCATTAGAAAGTTTATTCGTTAGTGAAAGGATTTTTCTTGAGTTGCAGATTCACTGATATCATACTTAGACTTATTCCAGCTAATATGTCCTCAATAATACCTTGATACAGAAGATGAGTAGGAGATGTTGACTTTTAATTTATTAAGAAGAGTAGTGGGTAACGCAAACAAATGGATCGACTGAGTGGAGCTAAAACACGCATCAGCTAGACTATAACCTGTCAACATTCCCATTTATCTGATCTCCGCCCGGCAAACCAACGATCATGATTAATGACGGCCGAATTATGACTGCAGAACGAAAGTAACTGAATGTTGTCATACTTCGATCTAAAAAGAACATTCACAGGAAACTTGGGGGTAGGATCGCTCAATACTGTTATTCTACATACAAATTTGTGACTTGAAGGCTACCATAAGATGTTTGTTCCAATTTTACAGAAGGCATACATACCAGTCTACCTGAGGCTTCCAAAATCGTTCTATAAGAAGTGATGAAGTTTAGAAATGTCTCGCGCAGAGAAATTTCGTGAACCATGTACTTCCATATTCCTGTCACTTGACGAGAAAACGACGACTGGATGAGTTTGTATTCACCAGACCCATGTGACGAAATTGAATGTAACAGATCATGGTAAAGAGGATCATCAAGTTTTCATCAGAGAATTTGAGTTTCCTTATTAGCTTGTAGTGGATGTCGAGTCGTGGACGGACTATGATCACCACTACTATTCGATTACGCGTACAAATATGACTTGGTTCCCTTGATAGCCCGTAAACCAGAAGGCTTTACTAGTCCAGATCAAGTATATTTATTGGCGATCTCGTGGTATCGAAATAATACCGAGACGTGCCAAAGAGTACAAGCGAACAGGCAGTGCGTGAGCAAGCTCGAACCAAACCAGGCGGTATATGGAACAAGAAGTGAGTCTGATACAGTTAAACAAATACAGTAAAACAATCTCTGGTACAATTGGTTACAATAATAATAATTGTTTCTATTATTCCAATCGTGTTCTTATCGAGACTGGCCGGTCACTACAGGAGCCCCCCGCTAGAAAGGATTTACACTTTCGATACGTAGCGGTTTCATTCGTGGGACTGATCGCGAAACGTGCAATTGTAGGACGAAAACGTTGGCAGAACAGGGAGTGATCGTTGATCCTCGAGTTGCCACCAAAAGTCTTTGACGTAGAACGGTACCAGAAGGAACGTACTGTATTGATTGCTTGGATTAGCATGCTACACCAGAGTGGTTTGTATCCAGAATCTGAAGGTTGCGTTCGTAGTGGTCCGGACCAGAAACGCTGCAGACGTAGGACGAAACCAGATTGAGCCAAGGAACCAGATGCGACCAGGATAACCATGTTCGGGACCAAATGTGTATCATACGTATTTGGAGCCAGAGAGATCGACTGAGTGCGTTGACTAGAGCGTGGGTGATCAGGCCAGCTTTCGCGAAAGTTGACTGAAGTCGACGATACCGTAACAGTGATGGTCGGAGGCGTAGGCTCGGGGTAAACAAAAAAAATGATAGAAAAAGAGAAAAGTGTAGCTTTCTTGTAGTATAGGGGCAGATTCCTATACTGTATCCGTAGTTGGTTATGAGGTTAGTCGAGAAAGCGTACGGGTAAGCGTACTCGGCGACCAGAACGTGAGACGGTAGTCTCGTTCGAACCTCGTGAGCCTGCAATCTCATCCGCAGTCAAGGGCGGTGTGGTCTGCAGGTCTGGACGTGAGACGGAAGTATCGTCCGTAGACGGGGCAGATGACACGTGCTGTTGACTGGGACGTGAGAATGAGGTCTCAGGTGCATCTAGCGTGGGATCCGAAGTAGATGTAGAAATCCCGCTAGAAGCTCTGATGGGTCTAACATTGGGTCTCGGCTTATCAGGTATAGCACTGTCATCGACGTGTGCTGGCTTGAGACGATCAATGCTGACTGTTTCGATGCGGCCACGTCGATCAACCTTGAAGGTCTTTTCGTGACGAGAAATCACGTGAAAAGGTCCTTCGTAAGGCTGTTGTAGAGGTTTGCGTACCGAATCTACTCGTATGAAAACATGTGAACAGGTAGATAACTCTCGAGGGAGAGCGACCTGTCGATGTTGTATACGAGTCGACACCGGAGTCAGTGTTCGCATGAATGCAGACAGTCGTTGGACGTAGTCTGATTCGCCGAACTTAGTGCTGCTCCGTGGTGTGAAAAATTCCCCAGGCAGACGCAATGTCGTGCCGTAAACAAGTTCAGCGGCGGAACATTGAATATCTGCCTTTAGACTCGTTCTGATTTCCAGGAGGACGAGCGGCAGGGTTTCGTACCAATTGTTGTTTTCGTGTGCTCGAAGAGCACTTTTAAGTTGGCGATGAAACCGTTCAACTAAACCGTTTGATGCTGGATGGTAGGCGGTAGTGCGTATGCGTTCCGTACCAAGCAGCCGTGTTAGTGAGGAGAATAATGCGGACTCAAATTGCTGTCCTCGGTCAGTCGTGACAGTCGAGGGACAACCGTACAGAGCTATCCATCGTTCTACGAAGCGGTGAGCAACTGTCTCCGCCGTAATAGACGTGATGGGAATAGCTTCGGGCCATCTTGTGAAACGATCAATGCACGTGAGTATGTGATCATACCCGTGCGATGGTGGTAATGGTCCTACAATGTCTATGTGAACGTGATCGAAGCGAGCATCAGGCGTAGCGAAAGTGCCAATAGGGGCAGCTACGTGCCTGTGCACTTTTGATCGTTGACATTGTAAACATTGTTTTACCCACATACGGACATCTTTATTCACGGACGGCCAGACGTATCGTGCAGCGATGAGGCGTAAAGTGGCTGCGATACCAGGATGAGATAAACCATGAAGGGCATCAAAGACGAGACGGCGATAAGCGGAGGGTACGATGGGTCGAGGGAGGCCCGTAGAAGTATCGCATAGGATAGTACCAGAGCTAGTAGCTAGGGGTACTTCCCGGCATTGAAGGGACGTAGACTGTTGTGCTTCCGTGCATGAAGTATCGTTTGCTTGGGCGGCGGCCATAGCAGGTAGATCGAGCACTAGCAAAGTAACTGCATTCAGTTGGATACGTGATAAAGCATCAGCAACACAGTTCGACTCGCCTTTGACGTGGCGAAGGTCTGTCGTGAACTGGGAGATATAGTCCAAATGTCTGCACTCTCGTGGTGAGTAGCGGTCAGACTTGGTATGCAGAGCATACGTCAAGGGCTTATGGTCGGTGAGTAAGATGAACTTACGACCTTCTACAGCGTGCCGGAAATGTTTGATGGCACAGTAGGCTGCTAGCAGTTCGCGACCAAAAGCGCTATATCTCGTCTCCGTGGGAGTGAGGCGTCGTGAGAAAAATTCGAGGGGCTGCCAACTACCGGAGATATTCTGTTGCATAACGGCTCCCAAGGCGAAATCCGATGCATCAACCGCTATACTAAGCGTGGCTGATGGGTCAGGATGCACGAGAAGTGTGGCTTGAGCTAGGGCCGTTTTGATATCTGAAAATGCAGTACGTGCGGCGTCGTTCCATTCCAGTTTGCGTGGATTACCGCGAAGTAAATCGGTTAACGGTCGTAACTGTTCTGCCGCGTGCGAAATGAAGCGTCGGTAGAAGTTGACCAAACCGAGAAATGCCTTCAGTTCCTTGAGTGTGGACGGTACAGTGTACTCCATTATAGTACGTACTTTATCCTCACAAGGTAGAATACCCTCATGCTTAATAACATGACCTAAGAATTTTATTTCCTTCTTCCCGAGTTCACACTTGTCGGGGTTGACTATTATTCCATTATCCGAAAGGCGCTGGAATAGTAGCGTCAGGTGTTGATAATGTTCATCTACGTTTGATGATGCGATTAGCAGGTCATCAATATAGACGTGAACAAAATCTAGGTCTCGTACAATGCTATCGATAAACCTTTGGAAAGTTTGAGCAGCATTCCGTAATCCAAATGGCATTCGTAGGAACTCAAATAAACCGAAAGGAGTCGTGATGGCAGTTTTCTCTGTATCTTCAAGAGCGACTGGGATCTGGTGATATGCTCGTACCAGATCGATCTTGGAAAAAATTGTCGTGCCCTTGAGTGATGCCGTGATGTCATGTATGTGGGGGATGGGATAGCTATCGAAACGTGTAGCTGTGCTTAACGCTCGGTAGTCTCCGCATGGTCTCCAACTAACCCCATCCTTTTTTTGAACCATGTGGAGAGGTGAGGCCCAAGGACTGTGAGAAGGACGAATAATACCAGTAGCTAGTAAATTGTCAAACTCACGTTTAGCGAAAGCTAATTTGTCCGGTGCCAGTCGGCGAGGTCTTGCCGTGACTGGTGGTCCGCGGGTGACTATGTGGTGTACCACACGATTGGTCACCGATGGAGTCTCCTCGAGAGGTTTAGTTAATTTGGGGAATTTCTGAAATAAAACGTGGAATAAATCGTCACGCGAATGAAATACACCTGTGATTCGGTACGCGTTTGTGTGGGCTTTAGAGCCCATAAAGTTGCTGTTCGACGAAGTATCAATTAGCTGCAGCCTACGTGAATCGACTAGCAATTCATAGTGCTGTAGGAAATCGATACCGAGTATAGCTGTGGGAACATCGGCAATGATGAACGTCCACAGATACTGCCGTCGGTTGCTCAGGTTGACCGTAAGTTGTCGTGTACCATAGGTGGGAATGACTGAGCCATTCGCAGCGCGTAGTCGAAGCATAGTGGCTTGAGACTTACTGTTACCGATAGGTACGACAGAAACTTGGGCACCCGTATCCACAAGGTACCTAGCGTTGGTGCAATAATCGTGCACATAAAATAAACGGCCAACCTGAGGTGAAGTGCCGGCGAGTACGGCCGCATTTACTCGCCGGCTGGGAAGTTTCCCGCCTTGTATGAGCAGGGAGCTCGACAATGACGGGCACCGGCTCCGAAAGCACGGTGAAACCAGCACCAACCTGGACTCGCTTCCGAAACCGCCTTCTGGCGTGGCTTGGAAGATGCCCGCTTGGGGCGAGTCGTTACGGCTTTTCGAGATTGTGACCTGGGTCGGGGGACGTAGGGGGCTGGCACATTTGCGCGGTCTCGGAAACTGAGACGAGTATGGATACATCTGTCCCTGTCCCCATGAGCCGGAGGTCGTCTAGCATCGAGATCAACGTTAGAACGGGAAAAACTAGCAACAAAATGGTCGCCTTTGGTGTTAACTCGTGCCAGAATCTTATCTGCTATGAGGGCCACCTTGTTGAGCGGGGTGTCCTCGAGCAGAGCAGTAAGGGTTGGCTGGATACTGACTGGTAAGGCTTCGAACCACAACTCTTTGACTATCTCAGAGTCAGCTGTCATGTTTCCTGCAAGGGATTGCAGGCGCGTGAGGTGGTGGCTCGGCTTAGCATCACCCATAGGGTGACGTGCTAAAAGTGTCCTCAATCGTTCCTCTCTTGATGGGAGGAAATGTCGAAGGATGGCATCCTTAAGACGGTCATAAACGTTCGGAACGTTTGGATTGAGGACAACCTTACGGACAGCGGTTAGGTGATCCCCGGGCAATGATTCCAAAGCGTAGGCGTATTTCTGCCTTTGATTGGTTATGCGGCGGATCTCAAATTGAGATTCCAGTGCCGCGAACCAGACTTCTGGATCATGGGGGATGAAAGGAACCGGTCGGAAACTGATAACCTGTACCTCGGAGTCTATCATATTTATGTTATTCTTTTCGTTATCTACCATATTAAGTTGCCAAAATATTATATATTGAAAAAAAAATCAATACGAATATATGCAACAGATGTGGATAGATAAATAGACTCACCAGATTGATCTGGTTTGGAGAATTGGCCAAGTTTGACTTGTGCTCGATGGATTGGGTTACCAGCTGTATTGCGTGTTCCAATAACGGCTCACCAGTTGTAGTGGATGTCGAGTCGTGGACGGACTATGATCACCACTACTATTCGATTACGCGTACAAATATGACTTGGTTCCCTTGATAGCCCGTAAACCAGAAGGCTTTACTAGTCCAGATCAAGTATATTTATTGGCGATCTCGTGGTATCGAAATAATACCGAGACGTGCCAAAGAGTACAAGCGAACAGGCAGTGCGTGAGCAAGCTCGAACCAAACCAGGCGGTATATGGAACAAGAAGTGAGTCTGATACAGTTAAACAAATACAGTAAAACAATCTCTGGTACAATTGGTTACAATAATAATAATTGTTTCTATTATTCCAATCGTGTTCTTATCGAGACTGGCCGGTCACTACAAGCTCATATTGCTTTGGCACACGAAGATATAGGTTTGTTCCTGTGTAGGCTGTCAGAAAGTTAAGTGACTAAAGGGACGAAAATTTACTTAGACACTTTTTACCTAACAGTATTCGTGTGGTTCTAGATTTGTAGGATTATGGTCTACTTTGTTATTATTACTGATCTAATAATAGACCCGATTCTAAAATTGCAGACTTCGCATGATATGACTGCCTAATCTATAAGATCCTACGCGGAAGTCACATCATTGTCTACGCTGACTCTTCCTATCGTATTATCACCAGTGTATGATAGAGAACACATTTGGGCTAGAGATAGAACATTATTTTTAATATGAATAAAAGAGATAAGTTACGTAAGAATGACCACGCTTGCAAGATTGGGCCATGCCATCCGATTGTAACTTCAATTTACTCTTCCATCCTTCTCTTTTGTTGGGTTTTTCTCCGCGTTGTCCCGTGTTCAGCTTTGAAGCTTACGTGGTTACAGCCCAATGTCACTACAGATTCTCAACCTATCCTACATCTAAACGTATACCAGATTCGATAAGTGAGTTTCATCCATCTTATTAATTATTTGTAACGCAGTGATGGATCGAAAGACTTAGGGGCAAACTAAGATATGCTCTTGAGCCCAAGTGGACCAGGACTTATCCCCGTCCTTGTGAAAGTCTGCTCACACATCATGCACTTTGATTGCTACACCTCGGTCACTGTCAACCGATATTCGTATAACAACCCTTCATCATAGTACATAGTTGTTCGAGAGTAGTTATTCGAAGCGCTAATGCATCGAAACAGTCTACGAACATCTTTTTATGATTATAAAGTGATATGATGATAAACAAATCCCCAAAATAACAGGCTTCTCAGTTTCCGAAGTTGATGCTGAACTTAAGAGGTTCACTGGATACACCATTTATTGATGGCCCCCCTTAAAGTCTCCATACCTATCACGTTTGGGTACTCCCTGATCAGCCTAAATTCTTTGCACTAGGGATTATCAGTCTTTGATCCAAGTATAAGTTCACAAAGCGTAAATCTCAAACCTTGAATTTGCTTTCTCGGGGATCATCAGACTTAACACGAAATGTAGTCCGTGGATCTAGATGACACCATTCAAAAAATTGCTGTGAACCGGAAACTAGAAAAAGCTTATTGAGATAGAGTTAGTTGAAAAATATGCGATTCATCATGATTATGCTTCTATTATCTCCTTTGAAATGTAAGGTGCCGTTTCATCTTTTTAAAACGAGCAGTATAAGGCTCAGATATAGATAGAAAGAACTTTCTTACCACCAATTACTTACAAGTAATAGCTTACCTTGTTTAAAAATGAAGCTAGGATACTCCTGTGACTTAGAAACGTTGTCTAGGAATTATTTATGATTATTGGGATAAAGTATGTTAGGTGTTTATTATTTCCTCTTCTCTACAAATCGGCACAAAAATCTTTAGTCGGTTCCCATATTTTTGACTTAACACTTATGAATAGGGAGGTAAATTAATCCAAAAATAGGCAGTTCTGTAGGTCTTTGATATCGATGCTGACCTGATACGTTCGCTGGAAACACCCTAGCTGAAGGCGCCTGGTGAAACATAACACCTCACATCACCATTTGTTAGACCCTGTTATACATACCTTGCAGCAAGTAGTGAGAGTAGATCGTATACTTCGCGATGCATCAGCAATCTTCCAAAAATACCTTCCAACTTCTTCCCTGACTTCTGGTTTACCTGTGTTTACAATCTTTAATTACAAAGGCACGAAGCTGTGTAAGACACTTGATTTTCGTGACATTTTTGAACAACCACATATTTACACATTTTAGGTCCGATAATAGTATAGTCGGTTCAGTCAATTGTCAGCCTTAGTAACTAAAGGACTCGTCGAACTTCTGAGATTACAAAGAGGTCTGAATAATAGCCAGAGCAAATTAAACGAAATGGTTCCGTCCAATGGCCATTCAGGTTATTAGTTATTATAGGCAAGTGACCAATCACATGATATATTGGATGCAACGGAAACTGGCGATCTAGAATTATGTCTTTTCTCCATAGAACTTATAAGTTAGATTTATAAAATATACCATGAGTACCAACTAAAAGATCAAGCTTATTTGGCATTGTGATTCTAAATAGCCTAGGCTAAATATCTGCCGAAATATACCCGAAACCCCTTCTTATACTTTCACCCATGAAGAAAACTGTAAAATAAGTTCGAGGGATAGGGTATATACAAAATTTTGAATCAGTAGTTTCTAAGAACGTGATGCTTGTGAGTTCAGTTATCTTTAGACATACGTCACTGACATTATAAATGAAACGGTAGGTGATAGGGGTTTAAACAGTTGTTTATGATTAGATTGAAATTTCAGCAGTTTAATCATCCCTGACAATTAAGCTACTTACTTCTTTTAATTCTAATTATACACGCCATTAGTTTTATATCAAGTCGGTCTTCGGAGATAATAGACGAAACTATGATATCAAACTCATTCCCAATAAAGCATACTTGATCTTCGAAGTAAAATTTTGTTCTGTTCTTTTACTGGACGAGAATTCGCCTAGAGCGTTGCTTACATAAATCTCAGGTCTTTTAATTATCCATCATATTGTTTTAATATGATGGGAATTTTTCAGCGATTTTAATTATCCACCAGTTTTCCAAATTTATGTCTTTGAATAAATAACCATGAGTCTAACATTTTTGGTCTTATTATTTGCTAAGCTATTTAGTTTAAATGGTTTAAATTATTTTTTCTGGTTCGCGTTTTTTGGCGAGTTAGTATTCTACGGGGACGCTAACCCTCCACCTTTACCCGGGCTTGGGACTAGAAGTAACTCTAGAAGTGCTACTGGCAGACAGCCTTGTCTGACTCCGGTCCTTACTAGAAATGTATCTGTCAGCTGTCCTTCATGCACGACTTTGCACCGTACTCCATCGTATGAGTTCCGGATAATGTTGACAATCTTCTCAGGTAGTCCATAGTGTAGAAGAATTTTCTATAATGTTCCCTGGTTCACATTGTCAAACGCCGGAAAATAGAAACCTATACGAAAAGGATGAATAAAAACTGTAAAGAATGGGAAAGGATTGCTAAGGACAAATTTGGATGGAGAGTGTTGGCGGGTGGCCTATGCTCTTCCATGAGGGCTAACAGGAGTACATAAGTAAATAAGTAAGCATAATTAACATTACAAACAGTATTATTTCTAGCACGGATTATGACCGAATATCATGAGAGAATAACACTGTAAAATCTGATATATATTTTTTGTAAGATTAGCGACTAATGTTAATCTCCTAAATGAGTAATCTATTTGAATTGATCATTGTATAAAATTTACTCTTTCAGTGAAATTATTATCGTAAACATGACAAAACTATAGATTTTATTTAAGTTTTTCTGGTTTCTTAATTGTATTCGTATATTATTATTCCTCATAGTTAAATACATGAATCAATTGAAGCTAGACCACCATGGAAAACCTGGAAGCACTAGATGGTCGTTTCGTCCCATTGTGGGACTCCTCAGCAGTGCCCATCCACGATCCCGTCTCGCGAGATTCCAACCCAGGACCTACCAGTCTCGCACCAGAGCACTTAACCACTAGACCACTGAGCCGGAATTCGATAGTGTTAATGTCTGACTTCGACCAATCCACAAAGTTGAGCAACCGTTCACCAATTGTCTTCAATGAGTTGATATCTCACAGCAGACGTGGTTTGAACTCCACTGTCCACTGCTTCTCACTAGAACTCCAAGAAATATCTCTTGAAGTCACTCACTATTGAGTGTCTGATTATAATGAGATGCGGGGTTTGTGGAGATTAAGTATCTTCATAGTTGAAATCCTGATTCAATTGAGGCTAGACTACCATGGAAAACCTGGAAGCACTGAACAGCCATTTCGTCCTATTATGGGACTCCTCAGCAGTGCTCATCCACGACCATGACTGACTTTGAGCGGTAAATCCAGGAGTTTTAGTGAGAAGCAGTGACCAGTGAAGTTCAACCAGGTATATTGTCAGATATCAACTTATTGAATACAATTGGTCAACGGTTGCTCAACTTCGTGGATTGGTTGGAGTTAGTCATTAACACCATCGGATGGCGGCTGGTTCAGTGGTCTAGTGGTTAAGCGCTCTGCCGCGAGACTGATAATTCTTGGGTTCGAATCTAGCGAGTGCGTAATCCTGGATACACACTGCTCAGGAGTCTCACAATAGAATGAAACGACAATCCAGTGCTTCCAGACTTTTCATGGTGGTATAACTTTAATTAACTCGTGATTTCAACTATGATAAATACTGAAATCTCCACAAACCCCCCCCTCTTTTGATTATTATTACTATTCCATTGTAATGTAAAATAACAAAAAGACTATGAATTACCTTAGTTAATTTCATGTATATAAGAACAACAACAACAGCAACATTAAAAAAAGTTATCACAATGACATTCTTACACACATAAATATATGAAACAGGCACTAGAATAACAAAACAAGAGTCATTATTACATCATGTCTATAAGCATATTTATCTTTAATTGATTCTAATAAGCATATATAAAGAAGATCTGATCTATTCTTTCTCTTTTTTTCTTTTTTTTCCTTTTTTTTCTTTTTTTTTCGCTTGAATCCTATGAAATTGATCATTTCAATCAATCAATCAATCAATCAATCAACCAATCAAGTGAATAATAATCAATGATAAGCAACAAGGAAACAGCCCAATTTAGTTACCAACTAAAGCAAAATTATAAAAAAAATTAAGATTAAAAAAAAACAAAAAAAAAGAGAAAAAAAATGAAAAAAAAATGAAAATAACAATAACAACAATAACATAAAGTTAACTACATAAAAATCAATAAAGAACAAACTGAAAACAAGAGAAGAATTTTTTTTTTAAAAAAAGGGGGGGGGCGGTAAAGAAGCTTGTTACTTATTAGAAATAACATGATCATAATTTTTTTTTGTGTAAGTGTAAATTTTTTTTATTTTTGTTTTTTTTTTAATTTTTTTTACAAATAGTAACTGGCGCTTAGTAAATTACAAAAAAAAATTATTGATTTTATTAGATTATTTAATAGTTGTTTGTTGTTGGTCTTGTTGTTGTTGTTGTTGTTGTTGGGGGTGGTGGTGTTGTTGTTGTTGTTGTTCTAATTTTTCAGGAAATGCACCCCATTTAACACCAATATATGGTATTTCAGATGACATAATACGTGGTGGTGCTTCAATTAAATATGTATATACTAATGGTAATGATTGAGGTAATTCATTATTATTAATAGGTGTTGCATAGATATATAATTTATAAAAATGATCACCTTTTGGTATACGAATAAGGTAGGTTAAATGTTCATTCATATTGGATACTTCAGGTTCTTCCCATTGTTGTAATAAATAGTTGGTACAATCCTAAATATAAAATAATAATTGATGAATACGAAGTCGAACGTGGATAGTGAAGAATATAAACGGAAAGAGGTGGAAAATTACAAAGAAATAACGGCTATGGAAGGTATAGGAGGGGAGGCGCACGAATTTCTTCTGTATGCATAAATTAGAGTACTTACTTACTTACTTACTTATGCCTGTTACTCTAAATGAAGAATAGACCACCGACCAACATTCTCCAAACCACTCTGTCTTGAGCCTTCCTTTCTAGTGCAATCCAGTTTTTGTTCATTCTTTTCATGTCTGTTTACATTCCTCGGTGTGATGTGTTCTTTGGTCTTCCTCTTCTCCTTTAGCCTTCAGGATTATATGTAAGGGCTTGCCTTGTGACGCAGTTGACTACATTCCTCAATGTGTATCCTATCCACTTACAGCGCTTCTTCTTGATTTCTTCCTCCACTGGAATCTGGTTCGTTCTCTTCCACAGTAGAATGTTGCTGATTGTGTCTGGCCAACGAATCCGAAGTATTTAGCATAGACATCTGTTAATAACTACTTGTATCTTCTAGATGATGGCTTTCGTAGTTCTCCAGGTATCCACCCCACACAGTGGGACTGTCTTGACATTTGTATCGAAAATTCTGCTCTTGGTGTTGATTGACAATTGTTTTGAGTTCCAGATGTTCTTCAGTTGTAAATATGCTGCTCTTGCTTTGCCTATCCTCACCCTCACATCTGCATAAGATCTACTGTGTTCATCAATGATGTTGACCACATATGTAACGGTTTTCACATCCTCTAAAGCTTCTCCGTCAAGCGTAATTCTATTGGTGCATGCTGTATTGTATCGGGGAACATAAATTGGGGTAAAATGAACGAATTCCTATGACTTCAGCTATATGTAGGAGACGGGAATAAACTGCGTTGCATTATGACCACTATCAGTTAAATGTACCAAGATAGAACTGCGTATTGTTTTTATCTGGCTCTTCTCAAATCATGCTGGTAGATGTTCACTCATTCGTTGGTTAAGTTGCCTAGTAGTACGCCCGATATAGCTATTTCCACAGGGACAGCTGAACTTCAAAGTGAACATAGAGGAGGTCAACTCAGGTAACGTTTCTTTCGTTTGAGTAGACATTGCTGGTCGACTGGAGAAAATCATTGCAAGATTGGCTGCGTAGAATGTCCTGTTAATTACTTTCGTTAATCTGTCTTTCAGAGTATCACTAGTCACATCCTCGTTGAATTGTAGTTTCATGTATAAAGGTTTCTTTCGAACTGTTGAAGTCTCAGATTTCTTTCTTCTATTATACATGTACTTCTTAATGAACTCATTAGGGTAGACGATCTCTGTTCGAGAGTTATGGATAAATTCCAGCTCCTGACCTAAAGTATCTGCTGAACATATCTTCTCTGCTTTACTAGTTAGGCATCTAGCCAAATTTATCTTAAATCGGATAGATTAGTTATGAATAACAAGTTTTATGAAATAAAATTAATTCAGTCTATTTCGAGGCTTCTCATTAGATGTAAATAGCTTAAGGTTATAACGACCAATTTAAAACAAAGAATTGATATAATCTATCAAGTGAATTAGATACGGGTGTTCGAATGTGATCAGAAAATCATAATGAATGTAAGGAGGTGAAGGATATCTGTGAGAATGCCTTAAAGATGAACTCAAGGAAGCTCTAAGAAGCTCAGATAGAGCCGTAGATATTTCATCCAATCATCGGCTTTTGAAAGAACATTCCCTAGCCTTGCTAACTAGATCAAGAAGTTTTGTTAAGGCGTACAGAATGGATTCTATAAGCACTCAGGAAATACAAGGTCACTAAGCACACAAATTAAGCTTATTTATACAGTGATAGAAATGTCTTTTGGAGAGCCACAAAATAGTGTACTAAAAGAATTCCGTCAACCAATGATAGTCAAGGAATTTCGAGAGGGAAATGTAAGTTGTAGGTCAACTAATCGCTTCTTGGCGCGAAAACAGAAAATTCAAAATTTCAGAATAAAATTACATAATTAGGACTTTTTCCAAGTGAATTCTGAAGATCTAACGTCCTCGACATCCATTTAATATGACGTCTTTCATCTTCTTACATTCATTATGATTTCCTGATCCCGTTCGAACACCTATATCGAACTCCCTTAATAAATTATATCAATTCCTTGCTTTTGATTATATCAGTCATTGTAACCTTAAGCTGTTTACAGCTAATGAGAAGCCTCGAAATAGATTGGATTCATTTTATAGTTGAATTCATGAGTCGATTAAAGCTCGACTACCGCGGAAAACCTGGAAGCGCTGAATGGCCGTTTCGTCAGAGTATAGGACTCCTCAACCGTCCCAGTGATCAGTAAGTGAAGTTTACTGTGTGGTTTATTCATCTAAAATCAAGAGCCTACTCTATGAACCTAGAATCATATTGGTTCGTCTCAAGGCTTGTATTATCACTGTTTGCTTGATTCTCCCTCTTGCAACTCGATTCTTGGTTTAGGAACCTTATTTCTGCCTCAACTTCGTGATGGTAATGCTCTTTTAGGACGAAAATGATCGACTCACAACAAAATCATCAAACCCAACGGAAATAGCTGCAACAAAAGAATTCTACTGACTTTTAAGCTTTCTTTATCATCTCAAAATCATGTGACAGTAACTTTAATTCCTTGAGAAATTCAAGAACAAGAAGAAATAGTTATTCTGAACTAGTTAGTTCCCAATAGTTTTCCAGAGGATATCTTTAAACCTCAATCTGAACCTATGACTACCTGTTCCATACTGAACTAGCACATCCATTATTCTTTGCTTTAGTTTCTTACATACCATTTCGACTGAAGTTATGTAGGAATAGGAATGATAAAATGTTTCTTAAAAAAAACAGGCACATGAACCGACGAAGCTGACAACACTTACCTCTTCCTCTGGTGTACTTATATCTACAAACTGTCCAACTACATAAAGTTTCTGATGAGATTCTTTTGAAAATCTTATTTTCAAATCACAACTACGTGGATCTTGTACTTCATCATCTACTTCATTCGTTTGATCTGGTGATGTTGTTGGAACTATTAATGAATCACTTGTCGATACACCATTCATAGTTTTATCTCCTTGATTCATATACTGACTCATAATTTCTGATTTACTTCGAGTCTTTCGTAGCTCAATAGAACCAGCTGTTGGTACATGAATTAAAGGATCATCATGACTAAGTAATTTTAAACCTAATGTAGACCATGTTTCATCTTGTGGACCTAAATTCATTGTAGCTAAACGTTTTCTAACTGGAGTAGATAATCGAATCCCAAATTCAGAGTTTATTAAAAATTGCCAAACCTACAAAATGGTAAAAATAATAATTATATGAAATAGTAAAGGATCAGCGGAGTGGTAATGAAATTTAAAATCTTGGGGGGATAGTTACAAACTTTTGTTATATATTTTATACTACTTATAAGTAGTTCAAAACCATCACTGCCAGAAAAGTAATCACAGAAGGAGGGTTCCTACAGATATGTTATTTATTTATAAAAGCCATATTGATGTCTGTCAAAATATCATTTATTCAGTTAATTAGGTAATTAATATCCCGACCATTGCCTTTGGTCGGGCTTGCTTATCATGATGAACCAATCGAGCTATACTGGCTGGAAAAATCGTTCCTCAACTTCCTACCATGCCAGATAGGTCGGTTGAAGAGCGGTAAGACTAAACATAGCAAACCCAAGGTCCGAAGGTGAAGTCGTAGTGCTGACTGTACAGAGATGTGACAGCAGTAAGGTGTTTCCTTCAGACAACCAGCATAACAGCAATTCTGCCTTCTCACAAGCAGGGGTGGGGTTAGAAAAGGTCGACCCTAAAAATGCACTACTCGCTTTAACCCACAGATATCCGTCTCCGGCGGTAAGGTCCGAACAATTACGGAGCTAACACAAAAACTACCCACAATAAGGTCGTGTGTGGCCGATCTCAAGTAGTTGTCCCCTGAGCACTGCGGTCACGCTCTCAGGTCATCAAGACCACTTCTAACCCTTCCAAGGTGTGGGCAACCAAGAAGTGATAAATGCTCTCATACCTCTAACAGCACTCAAGATCACTGAGGTAATCATTATTATTTTTGTGTGACTGCAACTTTACTCGTCGGATTATGGGTGAACGCTGGTGGGTAAACTTTATATAAAGCGAAATAGTTACCTACATATCCCTGGTTTAAAAATAGTTTACACTCCTCCAGTTATTATCATTCCGTATCACTAGCTGTCCTAAGTCTTCTTTGTAGAAAGACATCTTACTACACTGACAAGAGTTTCGCATGAGTGACATATTTTACGATCATCAATTTAAATAAAAAGAGAATTATGGGATGATGAGAAAGATTTGCATCTTAGCTGCCGTTTGTGCTATTGAGTTCTGTAAATCAAATGGTTTATTAAAGAATCTTTAACTTTTGATCTTGATGACAACACTACCAGTATCTACTTCACTTAAAAGTAATAATCAAGTAGATGATGATGATGTTATCCAGAACGATATTGAAAGCTCCTTAAATGTGTCAAGCCCAGAAATGCTCTGGTACGGCCGAGAGTGGGTAGAGTCTGCTCTAGCCCTTCAAATGTTCCCACACGGCCACGCATATACAGCCTCTATCAGGGAAGTCCTAATCACTGTCTTCTCGTGGCATTACTATTGTTTACGAAATTGAGAGGACGAAATACGAATGTCAGACTCTTTAACCGGGTTGGTGGACACAGAAAATCCACCTAGGAGAGTTGGAAAGCCCTGATTCCAAACCAATGATTCACATGGACTCCAGTATTCTGCGGAAACAAATGGTCTATGAATCAATCATTGGTCACTGGCTACCATGAAACTGCATCTCCTCACGATGCTCCACTGCCTTGTGAATCAGATCTTTAGGTCAAAGATTCCGGGTGTGGCCCAATTAAGAAAACCATGTTCTTCAGTTATGGCACCCGGGTAGTATCACAGACCTCACACAAATCTCATTTGATTTGTGTGGTGCATATATATCTGGTGCTTCCTTGTACCAATATTTATGTGTTTAAATAAAAAAAATGTGTCATCTATCTCAGGGAATTCAAAAATGCTATAATAATTTATGTAGATATTCATTATATATTTCTTAACTAGACTTTTAAGTAGCATAGCTTACTGGTTAAATAACACTATGTAATGTCTAACTTTGATCAATGAATACGACAAGACATCGGCTACTGGTGGTCCCAAGCCCGGATAAAGGAGGAGGTTTGGGCATGGGTTTAGTGACCCCATAGAAAACCAACTCGCTAGAAAAACGCTAACCAGACAGAGGACAGAGGGCTAAGTTACTGGTTTCACCACATAAGAATGCATACTTGTAAAGATGCCACAAGTATATGATGTTTGACAACACCTTAACCAGTAAAACCTTCTACAATCGAAACGTGCCCAACCAGTGAAATCAGGAGCATAAAGGTTCAAAGATATATTCGATAGTCTATCGGTATATCGAGAAGTGACCAACCTAAGCTAACTAACGGTTGTAAGAGAAGTTGAGCATAGCCTACCAATCGTGATATGATGCGGATGTGTGACAAAGCGCCTTCATCTAGGTGAGTCTATTAAAACTAATGTGGTCAGCATACAATGTCGAAAACTTACAACTATTCAATTTAGGGGATTTATTTACCGTTACAAATAAAACTAACATACATGTCTGTTAACAGATTTGTTATAAACACAATGTATAAACTCACTTGGTATTGTTTGTTTGAATCTTCCCATTGATGTTTAGGACTGAAATTGATTAGTCTCTTATTGCCATATGTTCATACTATACGTATTGCCTCGATATAGCCTAAGTTCACAAGCATTATAAACAATGATGGATAGTGACTAGCAGTAGAGTCTAGGACAAGCGTTTCTCGATGGCTTTTAAAGCGAAAGGCACTAGGTTTGAGTCTCAAAGTGAACATCAACTCTGAAATGCAAGTACATCTAGCTGATGAGTCCCGAAATAGGACGAAATGCACATTGTCCTGAATTTCACTGCAACCCACTATCCATCTTTGCTGATAACAATGTAAAAACTTTCAATATTCTGTTACTGATTTGGAACCTTTCATTAGTACCAAGTCAAAGTCACAAAGGAATCCTTTGAAAATCAATCAGATCATACATTGAACATAATAATGTCTTACCAAGAAATATGAAGTATTCTCATCAGAATCCGCAGGTGCTCCATATACTTCTAATGCATATTCACCACCTGTTGGTAAATATGCTGTCAATATTATCATATGCATACGTGATCCATGAATAGTTTGTATACCAGAACTTAAACTTCCTGGTGGTACTGCTTCAATATTACGTAATAGTATACAATCAGTAAGCATTGATGTTTCATGAATGGATGATTTTAAACGTGCAGTTAAACGTGGTAGTTTGCTTTGCTTAAAGCAATGAACAAAGGGGGGAAAAAAGTAAAAGAAAGATATGAATAAATATATCATTGAATTCAGTTGGTATAGTTTGTTTAAATCTTCCTATTGATGTTTAAGACTGCAATGGATCAATCTCTTATTGGCATATGATGACATGTTACCAATCATAATGGAATGTTGAATGGATACTGTTACAGAGCTCCACACAAGGACAATATAGCTATCTACTGTTCTCTGATATTCAACAGCTGTTTAATTAAATCCATTCGATGATATAAACTACAAAATTAAACCACATCTTTCCTTATACTCATAAGAAAGGTATAATTTATCGGAAAACTGAATAAATAAACTACTGAGGATTCCCACAATAGGACGAAACAGACGTTCAGTGCCTCCAGGTTTTCCATGATGGACTAGTTTTAATTTAGGCTAGACTATGATTTATGGAGCCTAAGTGACCTTGAGAAATGTTAGTCAATCAGATGACAGTTAGTATAGAGTAAAAATATATTGTACGACACCAAAGAATGAGAGTGGGTACACTTCTTTTATATGGTCCAAAAACTTATCAACGTTAGAAAAAGGTTCAAAGGTTCCGGAATCGTAATGTATAAGGTAGAGGAAATCATCCATATGGCTCCATAATAGTTGGTCTCTGGAGCCATGATAAGGTCACAAAAACCCTCTCAGCCTCGACCACATAACTTTATTATTGTTTGTGTGTACTCCGGTTGTGTAAGTTTGTCATTTTTATTATGGATATGTCCCCATAATACTCATACCACTAAACAGCCGAAGTTTCAGTAACATCTGTGAATATCGCAGCCAATGTTACTGGTGCTTTTATCATGCAGTTCTTGGCAATTATTATAATATGCGTCGGTCTCAATCTGGATCGAGAGATATGGGTTCGTATTCTAGCAAACGTCTTCCTTCAACATATATTACATCGAAGGACAATATCACGGTAGTCTGCACAAAGTCTACAAGTCATTTAATTACCACAATCACAAATAAAGGAACTTCTTAATGGTCTCATTTATTGTTGCCCCTTAATTGTCAAGTTTTCTCTAAAATCCTCTGTGAATCGTGACCTTGAAATCCCTCAAACGCTTCTGATTGGTTTGTCCATAAATTATAGTCTCGCCTCAATTGACTCATGATTTCAACTATAAAATAAACTACTACGCTCGTATGATTTTGAGATAGTGGAGAAGATTTGTAGCTTAAGTGGATGATTTTGATATAGGTTTGTTCTCTGAGCTGGATGGTTTGATCGTGAAGGTTTCATCGTCATTCTGAACAACATCGTCAGCACAAACGTCAGGTGGAAATTCGAACACTTCACTTCTACTCGACGTTTGTGCTGATGATGTCATTCAGAAGGACGATGAAAGCTCCACGACCAAACCATTCATCCAGCTCAGAGAACATACCTACATCGAAATAAACTATTACTACTACTAACAATAACAACAGTAATAATAATGACTTACTGGATTTTTAGTAGTAAATTTAATTTCTAATAAACCTGTATGACAATTTAATTGAGTTTCTAAATCTTCTGGTACAGTAATAAGATCTAATTCTTTAGCTTTTTCAGCTGGACCATAATGTCCTTGTGATGTTGGAGGAAATGGTAGAATAGAAAGGGTTGATATTGAAGTATCATTATTATTATTAGTAGTAGCAGTAGTAGTAGGAGTAGTAGCATTCATAACACCAGTGTCTGTTTGTTGTAAATCGGTACTCATTTTTGATTCTACACGATATTCACATATATCTGCAAATAGCTAATGTTTAAAAGAATCAATCAATCAATCAAGGGATATAAATGGTAAGAACTTATATTAAATATATAATGGACGAACTATATTAATCATAATCATGTATTTATCAGTAACTCCGCCTGCAGCTCCTCTAGGGGTTACTGCCGGTCCCAAGCCCGGGTAAAGGAGGAAGATTGGGTATGGGGTTAGCGACCCCATCCCGTAGAAAACCAACTCGCGAAAAAAACGCTAACCAGAAAAAAAATTATTCAAGTAATGTACTTACTAGTAACTAGCCCTCAAAGGCCCTGGTACGGTCGAGGGTGTAGAGAGTCCGTTCTCCCTTGTGAAATACTCTCACATGGTTATGGGTAAACAGCTACTGTAAGGGAAGTCCTATTCACTGCCTTCTTGCGATGGGGGTGTTGTTTACGAAATTGAGAGGACGAAAAGTGAATGTTTGGCGCTTTAACATGGTTGATGGATATAGAGGATTCACCTAGAGAGGGGAAGAAAATCCTCATTCCGAAAGAATGATGTACATGGGCTTTAGAATCCTGAAGGAACAAATAGTGCATGAACCAATCGTTGGTCACCGGCTACCATGTGAGTGCATCTCCTTACGATGCTCTACTGTCTTGTGGATCAGACTTCCAGGTTGAAGGCTCCGGGTGCGGTCCACTAAGAAAATCACCTGTTTCGGTTTGGGAACCCGGACATCGTTCCACTTCTCATACAAATCAAGTGACTTGTGTGGGGCATGTGCATTTGGTTCCCCTTTGTACCAATATTTATGTGTTTAAATAAATAAATAGATAAGCCCTTAATGTAAATTAACATCAAACACTTACTAATTCCCTAAACTGGCAGATTAGGGACACCATTTCTACACTTGAACAACATATGCAACTTAAAACAACTGTTTGCAAGTCAACATCAAAGTCACAATCGTCAATACGAACGTCAAGACAGTCCTACTGTACGGAGCTGAATGCGGAGAACTACTACAACCATCATCAAGAAAGTAAAGGTATTTATAGACAGTTGTCTACACAAGATACTCAATATCCGTTGACTGGATACAATCAGCAACAGCTTACTCTGGTAGAGGACGAACCAGCTTCCAAGTGAAGAGGAAGTTGAGAAAAGGTGTTGGAAATGTACAGGACTAACATTGAGGAAATCATCAAACTGCATCACGAGGCAAGCCCCAACTTTGTATCCTGAAGAGAAACGGAAACCAGGAACTCCAAAAAACATACTGTGTCGGTGATTAGTATCAGACACGAATAATATGAATAACACCTAGAAAGAACTGGAAAGGAGTGCCGAGAAACGAGTTGGAAGAAGAATGCTGGTTGGCGGCCTATGATCCTCCAAGAGGAGGAACAGGCGTAAGTAAGTAAAGCATATTTAATTTTTGATAAATAACAAACAAATATAACCTCCTATTCATAGTTTTTTTTAGCTTACCTTTTCACCAATACGTTGTGCATACAAAGTAAGTTTATAACCTCCAGGTTTTGGAAAACGAAAATGAAATGTAACAGTTGCATCACGTTTTGATAATTCATGTAATCCAAATTGACTTAGATTTGGTAACTTTATCGAGATGAAAGAAGAGAAAAAAGCCAAAAGAGTTTTTAAAAAGAAGAAATGGATACGAACATAAACAAAAGTTTGAAATGAATCTAGTCAGGCCCTCAAATGCCCTGGTACAGCGAGAGTGGGGAGAGTCCCTTATCCCTCTCCAAATGCTCTCACATGGCCACGCGTATATAGTCTCTACCAGGGAAGTCCTACTCATTGCCTTCTCACAGCATTATATTTGTTTACGAAATCGAAAGGATGAAAATCGAATGTCCGGTGCTTTAACCTGGTTTGTGGACATGGAAAGTCCACCTAGGAGAGTTGGAAAACCCTCATTCCAAATCAATGGTACACATGGGCTCCAAAATCCTAAGGGAACAAATGGCGTATGAACCAATCGTTGGTCACTGGCTACCATAGAACTGCATCTCCTCATGATGCTCCACTACCTTGTGGATCAGATCTTTAGGTCGAAGGCTCCGGGTGTTGTCCCTTAAGAAAACCACCTGTTTCGGTCAGGGCACCTGGACAGTATCATAGCCCTCACACAAATCGAATGCGATTTGTGCAGTGTAAATATATCTGGTACTTCCTTGTACCAATATTCATGTGCTTGAATAAATCAATCAATCAATCAAGAAGCAACCTTTTATTCAACAAAAGAATAAATCTATATTCTTACATCTAAATTATCATCCTTTCCTTCATATTTTAAATTAAATGTAAATTTCAATGTATCGGTTAAAGTTTTTGGCATAGACAATTTTATAACAAGTTTATTTGGTGCAAGTATAACACAATCTTGATGTGATAATAATCCAAGACCATGACGAAAGAATGCTGGTTTCAATAGAACACTGTTTTCAAATTGCTAAAATAAAAAAACAAAACAAAACACAAAACATTTTATGTTTTTGGATATAACCTACTTTTAAAAGATTTCAGTAGTTTAAAAAGAAATGAAAAAATATTATTACAAATTGGTGAGTGTCGAATAGTGTAATATGAAGAATCAGAAAAAGGGTTTTGTGAATATTTTAGTAATTTTATATAGTTGAGATCATGATTCAGTTGAAGCTAGACCACCATCGAAAACCTGGAATCACTGGACGGCCGCTTCGTCCGTTGGATGCCGGCTCAGTGGTCTATTGGTTAAGTGCTTCGGCTCGAGACTGGTAGGTCCTGGGTTCGAATCTCGAGGGGCAGGATCGTGGACGCGCACCGCTGAGGAGTCCCACAAAATATAATATATAATATATGTGTAATATGTATATAATATGAAGAATGTTTATTAGAAACATATATTATGTATTCAGGGAATATATTTCAAACGATATCATAGCTGATCAAACTGTTGAGATATTCGTTGATGAATTTATTGACTATTCGACTGAACCAAGGTCAAGTTTGTTTAGTATAGACAACCTTATTCGTCGAACACGTTGAATGACGTCTAAGAATCAATTATAATAGCCCAAGTGAGTGAATCCTTTGTCTTAGAATACCTAAACTCTTTATTTCCTCAAATTCATTTCTTCTTCAGTTGTACTCTCTACTTCTAGTCAATTCTACTACTAATTATAGTATCATTCCTTCGCTATTCAAGCATTTATCTTGATAGTTTCACTAGATGTGGTATGACACCTGCAAAAAAAGTGGCTATTATGACTCAGTAGATAAGTGGATAACCTGATGACATATGAAGCGAACGTTTCTGGGTTCAAGTCTCAAAGTGAACATCAACTCTAAGACACAGGTACATCCAGCTGACGAGTCCCAAATAGGACGAAACGCGCGTCCTGAATTCTATTGCTGTATACTATCCACCTTTGCTTGTGTGAATTTAGGTAATATCTATGCAATCCTCACAGTATGCACATATACTAATAAGTGACTGATCAATCGCAGCCGTAGACATAAATGGGAAGATATAAATAAACAATACCAAGTAAATTTAATATGAAAACAATTGGATAACTCATCACTCTGCATAATAGGCCAATGTTACCAGGATAGGTTTAGAGGTGAGAACAAACTGTTTTTTAAATACATAAAGAGGGGTTTGAATTTTCGTATGGCTAGGGTTTCAATAAACCTTAGTATACGCTATTTGTACAACATCACAAAAGTCATGTTAAGATCAATCTTATGACCTGTTTTAACTATATGTTTGGTAATAGGGGACGATGGATTACTATCCTCTATTCTTATTAGGTCATTTGATTTGATTTGTTCCTGTAACCATTTAGGTACATGTTCATACACCCTAATTTTCAGATCACGTTTACTCCTCTTTATGTATATGTGACCACACACACACACACACATTTAATTTGGTAAACACAGTTGGATGTAACGCAAACGTTTTTATGTCTTCTAGGTATTCGATGAATTCGTTGATAATGACCTTTGCTTCATAATACATCTAGCTAATGATAAAAGGTTATTTGAATCACGCCTAAATACTATAGTGATGTAGACAGGCTTTTTTCTACCAAGACTATAGTAGGTCTCTCTATACCATGAATTTTTCAACTATTTATGAACTTACAAGGATAGCCATTTTCCATTAATGTTTTGTTCAGTAATCTAACATTGATGATGATATAGTTGAAATCATGAGTCAATTGAAGTTAAACTACCATGGAAAACCTGAAAGCACTGGATGGCAGTTTCGTCCGAGTATGGGATTCCATAGCAGTGGGCATCCATGATCCCGCCTCTCGAGATTCGAAAGCAGGACCTATCAGCCTCGTGCGCGAACGCTTATCCACTAGACAGCTGAGCCGGCCGACATCCAACGGTGTTAGTGTCTAACTTCAACCAATCCACGAACTTGAGCAACCGTTCACCATTGTCTTCAGTGAGTTGATATCTCACAACAGACCTGGTTAAACTCCACTGGTCAAGGTTTCTCACCAGAATTTCAGGAAATACCCCTTGAAACTAGTTACTAGTGAGTATATGTTGATTAATTTCAGAAAAGGTTTTTTATTCCTTACATTCAAGATGATTTTGTTCTAATCTTGAAGGATACAAGTTAAACGGCTTAACAATTGGACTAGAATTAATCGTGAAATAAACACAAATAGTACAACCATGACAAAAACTCTTAATGATCAAGGTGGACGGTTGTTCAAATCCGTGAATTGCTTGAAGTTAGACGTTAACACCGTTGAATGCCGGTCGGCTCAGTGGTCTAGAGGTAAAGTGCTCGCGCGCAAGACTGATAGGTCTTGGGTTCGAATCTCTCAGGGTGGGACCGTGGGTGCGCACTGCTGAGGAGTTCCATACTAAGACGAAACGGCCCTCAAGTGCTCCCAGATTTATTATGGTGGTCTAGCTTCATTTTAACTCATGATTTCAACAGTAAAATTACTAAAATCTCCACAAAACCCCCTTCTGATATTGATGATGATGTTAAATTCTTCAGCAATAAATGTTCTTAACAAATATATATGTGATCAGTTTGTTCGAAATGTGCTGCGGTAATATATCATATAGTTCTGATAATCTTTGTCTTCTTATTACACTATCGAAATTCCCAATAAACTTTGTTAACGAAAGATGGATAGTGGCTAGCAGTGGAATCTAGGACGAACGTTTCGACACTGCTAGACACTATTCATCTTTGCTTATCATGCTTGTGAATCAAGGCTATATCGAGGCAATACGCACAGTATGCATATATGCTCAATAAGAGACTGACCAATAGCAGTCCTAAATATCAACGGGAAGATTCAAGTAAACAACACCAAGTGAATTCAAACTTCACCACATTGCACAAGCAAGTAACCATCAGGACTTAGTAACTGAGTGGATAACGTGATAGCGTTTGAAGCGAACGGTACTAAGTTCGAGTCCAAGAGTGAACATCAACAACTCTGAGATGTAGTTGCATCCAGCTGACGAGTCCCAAATAGGACGAAACGCTTGTTCTGGACTCCACTGCTAGTCACTATCCATCATTGCTTATAATGCTTGTGAATCAAGGCTATATCGAGTCAATCCACACAGTATACACATATGGCCAATAAGAGACTGATCAATTACAGTCCTAAACATCAATAGGGAAGATTCAAACAAATAATTCTATGTGAAGTCAAACTTTGTTGACATTTACATTCTCTACCCTACACAAAGAAACATACACACAACACGACAAAGAGTTTTACATTCTTAAACTTTTGTTTTTCACCTTTTTTCCTCTTCCAAATTTACGTCACAAAGGGATGAAAGAATTTTTTAAAAAAAAACAAAAAAAAAATTGTATCCAACACATGATTTTTTCCTTTCATCATATTCCCTTCATTTGTGTAGGTTTGTTTACGAAAAGATGAATCGAAGAAAGTTAGAACACTATTGAAAACCTGAAAGCACTGAATACCTGTTTCGTCCTAGTATGAGACTCCTCAGAAATGTGTATTCAACCATCTTGAACACGGGATTTAAAACTAGAACTCTCGGTCTCATACGTGAAACCTTAACCTCTAGACCAATGAGCAGGTATCCAATGGTGTTAATGTCTACTTTGGATCGATCGATGAACAGCTGTGCAAACATTCATCTGTTGTCTGAGGTAGTTAACTGTCTCTACCCTACACGGATTAGACTCCACTGGTCATGGCATCTAACTAGAACTCCAAGAAATACAATTTGAAGTCAATCATCAATGAGCATATAATGATTATGATCAGAATGTGGTTTCCGGAGATTGTAGTAATTTTAATAGTTGAATTCCTTTCGCCTGCAGGATCGTGGACACACCCTATTCACTTGTCCTACACCCGGATGAAACAGTACAGTGCCTACTTTAAACATTTACTAGAACGCTTTTGGTTTGTTTCAAATTAAAATGTTTAAAACAAATTTAATAGTTGAATTTATGACTCGATTAAATCTAGACCACCACTGGAAATCTAAAAGCATTGGACTGCCATTTCATATTAGTATGGGACTCCTCAGCAGCAGTAGGTCTCAATATAAACAAAGGGCAAAGCAAGACTCTCCGATACAATACAACATGAACCAATCAAATTACACTCGACGGAGAAGATTTGGAGGATGTGTAAACCTTTACATATCTGGCAGCATCATTGGTGAACACGGTGGATCTGATGCAGATGTGATGGCGAGGATCGGCAAAGCAAGAGCAGCATATTTACAATTGAAGAACATCTGGAATTCAAAATTGTCGTCAACCAACATCAAGATTACAATTTTCAATACAAATGTCAAGACAAATCTACTGTATGGGGCGGAAACCTGGAGAACTACGAAAGCCATCATCCATAAGATACAAGTAGTTATTAACAGTTGTCTACCCAAAATACTTTGGATCCGTTGGCCAAACACTATCAGCAACAACAACCTACTGTGGGAGAGAAGAAACCAAATTTCAGTGGAAGAAGAAATCAACAAGAAGTGCTGGAAGTGGATTGGGCACACTTTGAGGAAATCACCCAACTGTATCATGAGACAAGCCCTCACATGGAATCCTGAAGGCCAAAGGAGAAGAGGAAGACCAAATAACACATTACGCCGAGAAATGGGGACAGACATAAGAAAAATGAACAACAATTGGATAGAACTAGAAAAGAAGACCGAGGACAGAGTAGGTTGAAGAATGCTGGTCGGTGGCCTATTTTCCATTGGGAGTAGCAGGTGAAAGTAAGTAACTAAGTAATGTTTCTTCCTATTTGAAACTTATCAATTGAATATATCTAGATCCTAATGTTTATATCCACCGAATTTTTTTTATCAAACATAGTTCATATATGTGTATCTTGGATAGATTTCGATCAAACAAAAATGAAAAGAAATCAAAAAGCAACAGAATCATTCAAACGGTTACATGATAGTTTAAGTGTTATTGTGGTGTAGTCTACTTATATCCTCATAAATAGTATATGATGATGGTCAGACATATAATGTATTTTGGCAGAAGATCGATAAGGAAAGAACAGGAATGAAGCGCGATCGATATGATGAGAATGCATGAACAATGAAATCAGTGAAGACGGACTGACGTTTGCAGAAGGAACAGTTACGATTTAGACAATTGATTGTTAATTTGCAAATTAACAGGCTACTGGATGGTTATCAAAATTTAGAGAGATAATCTGTAATTTGTGCTTAGATACATTCGATTGACCCCACCCATGTTCTTGTTTATGACAATATCAGTTTGAGTTATGACACTGTAATCGATTTCAAGTACGTTTTTATCCTCCCCCCTCCCCCCCAAAAAAAAGAAACAGTACACATACTTACTTTTAAAGTAACTGGGGGTTTAAGCATTTGCCAATTTTCATCAAATGGATAATGTGAATAAATAAATTTAGCTGGATCAACATTAAAATAAAACATATCAGTTTCATAATCCATTTGTCCAGTTTGTACTAATTGTGATAAACGTGTATTAGCACTAACAGCTAAACGTTGTGCTGCCCACATTGGATCAAATAATGCCCATTTATTATCTAAATAAGCAGCATTCCATGCATGTTGTAATCGATGCATAATTGATGATGACAATGGTGATGTCGACGATGGCGATGTTAATGACTGTTGTTGTTGTTGTAATTGATCATTTATATCATTCAACCGCATACCAACGACATAATCAACACCTTTAGCTAAACCTTTCACTGTTACACATGGTATATTTGAATAATGACATAATGACTCAAATGCCTATTAGAATAAAAGCAAATAAGTGATTATCTAATCAAATAAACTTGATATTGTGATATATGCTACTGATATCAACAGATATAAGTAGTATATATCAACAATCGATAATTGAATGTCTGATAGATGTGGAAACGAAGGAACAATCAAGTCTGAAATGATTGATTGATATTTTGTAAATGAAGTATTCACCATATGGTTCTCAGATTTGACTAAGATATATGCTACTGATGTCAACAGATATAAGTAGTATATATCATCAATCGATAGTGGAATGTCTGATGGGTGTGGAAACGAAGGAACAATGAAGTCCGAAACGATTGGTTGATGTTTTGCAAATGAAGCATTTACTGTATGGTTCTCAGATTTGACTAAGATATTCTGGTCGTCCCCATTTGTGTTCTCGTTCGCTGCTATATATTCTCAGTGGATTAACACATATTGTGTTTCGCCATCTAACTTAGTCATTCTCGTGTTCCTATGACCTGAACAGTTCAACTATTCGGAGGCAGGAAACCAAGACCTTATGGAAAGACTCAATCTCAAAAGCCAAATTATTATCCTTACACCTGATGTTTAAGGAATAATCCAAACAGAGATTTGGTGGTAATGATCTTGGTTAGATAGATATTTCAGTTATTAATAACTTACAACTGCGTTCCATCTCATTTAAGGACCTTAGAAACCATAGAAACCATAAATTACACTGGGCAATACAAGTGGGCAAATAAATGACTGATAACTTTCTTATTAGTGTCTTAAGTTCTGTTATATTACTGGGGCAATAAAGGGCATCACTGTTGTATATGACAGGATGATTGCTATTTAGCAAACATAAACTGCTTTGTTTATTATAAACCATTCAATACGATTACTCAGACCATGTAGCAGAAGGAAACTAGGATAGACTTCCATCTCCCATTGATTAAAAGCTTAATTTAGTATGCATTGCAGTTGCTTCATTCACTAGTTCTCAAGTTGTATTATTTACGACGTAAACGTTAATGACTTAGATAAATAAACGTTGACAAATCGAAATTTGTAGCTCGATACCAAATACTTTTTCATATATTTACAATTGATTGATCAGTACGTAGTGATCAATGTCGAGTGTGTCAGGTGCTTCTTAGTGCGGATCGAATCCTATCGACAAAGTTGCAATGTGGCCACTAGTCTGGGCAACTCAACATTGCGTGCACTATGTTCAGATAATATGGTCAACAAGATACCCTGAACCCAGGTTTCGTGCAATTCGGCACTCCTCTACAAGGTGCCCCCGAATACCTTGGTAAGGCCGAGAGTGGGGAGAGTCCGCTCTCCCTCTCCAAATGCTCTCACATAGCCACACGTATATAGCCTCTGATAGGGAAGTCCTACTCATTGCCTTCTCACAGCATTACTGTTGTTTACGAAATTGAGGGGACGAAAAGCGAATGTTCGACGCTTTAACTGGGTTGGTAGACACTGAAGGTTTACCTACTCGTGGCATTACTGTTGTTTACGAAATTGAGAGGACGAAAAGTGAATGTCCGGCGCTTTAACCGGGTTGGTGGACAAGGCGAGTCCACTTAGGGGAGTTATAAAACCCTGATTACAAACCAATGGTGCACATGGGCTCCACGATCCTTAGGGAACGAATGGCATATGAACCAGTCGTTGGTGGCCGGCTACCATGAAACAGCATCTCCTCACGATGCTCCACTGCCTTGTGGATCAGACCTATGAGTCAAAGGCTCCGGGTGTGGCCTCTTAAGAAAACAACCTGCTTCAGTTTGGGCACCTGATTAGTATCACAGACCTCACGCAAATCGAATGAGACTTGTGCGGCGTCTACAAGGTAACATCTCTGACTATGAAGCTAGGTGATACGGGATCGAATCCATCAGCGAGCATCAGTTCCTTCAGCATAAGAAAAAGAAATAAAGAATTATAACTCACTTGAAGATATGTTGCTTTACCATTAGCCATTTCATTAAGTACAAATTCTGGTGAATCTGTTTTTAACTTTTTCAACTTATTCGATAATGCTTCTTTTGCATATTGAATACCATCAAGTTCAGCTTGTACTATTTCATCATATGTTAAAAATGGTATATGACCAACTGGTATTGAACATAACCATGAGAATAATGCACGAACTTTTAATTCATCATTAGTTAAATTACGTTTACCAATTAATGCCCAATGTAAATCTTTCCATGTCGCTGGTTTTGTTGTACCTCTAGCTAATTCACGAGCATCAGGATCAACTGGTTGTGCTATATGATTATCACCAGATGTTGGTTTATTAATGATAAGTTGTGTAGTAAATTTAGATTGATCTAAACTTGGTTTAATGAGTTGTGATGAAATATTAATAGGTGATGGAGTTAATGGTTTAGGTAATTCATAACTTGATGGAGCTGGTTCTAGCAATGAAATATGTGATCGTATTTTAATGGTTTCACTTTCAACTGGGGTAACATGATTCTTGATGGATTCCTCAGTTGTCGCAGGTGGTTCAGATTTGTCTAATTGTGGAAATAAAGTAGTGAATATTTTACATTGTCTTTGGACATTATTGTAAGGATATATGAACAAAAAAGGTTAGACTGATTTATTTTAAAACTCTACCTGTAGCTCCTCCGGGGGCTACTGCCGGTCCCAAGCCTGGGTAAATGAGTAAGGTTGGGCATGGGGTTAGCGATCCCATCCCGTAGAAAAACTAATTTGTTAAAAAAACATTGACCAAAAAAATAATTCAAACCATTTAAACTCTGCCCTGGGAGTTGAAGGAATAATTAGGACGCTTCATGATGAAAGCCGAAATTTTTTGGAAGTCACGAGGTCAATGCACATTCTAACAACCAGAGCAACACTCTTTCAAGTAAGATTTATTTTAAGGGACCTCTTAGAGCTACGTAAATCTATAGTTCCTTGTATTGGTTGATTCAAAGAAGAAAGAATTTCATTCAATCTTGTAGATTGTCTTAAGTGAATTGAACACTGACACGAACATCATATGAAATTAACTGAAGAACCTTATGGTTTACACCATTAGGGAGCGCTGGGTAAATGCTACTTCCTTGTAAGGAATTCCACAGTGGTGCACACTTAAGTCCACACTAGAGACATGATTCAACACCTTTAGTCGTTATGTTATATGCTTAAACTTTTGACCGCTGATTAGGTATACATTTTATCACATATCTATATTTTGTCAATTTGTGATTAGGTATCCTGATCTTCAGTGACTGCCTAAATAAAATCAATCCACTATTTTGACCATTGAACTCAACAATCTCTACAAACTGCTCATACTAAGATCTGATTTTTTCTAAATTATTTATTTAGCTAAGCTGTAGAGAATAAAGACAAGTACCACAGTCAAATTGATAATCATCAGAATAGGGTTATAAAAATTGTTAACTTTTTGATTGACATCAGTCAGTCACAACGTAGAACTTCGTACGTACGTATGTACATCAGTTCGAATTGCCATACCAAATTACCACACAGATGCAGTTGTCGATTCAAATCCCTTAGTGGTAGAAGTAGTAAGAGTATAAGCAGTAATCGGAAAGTTTAGGGATCGAAGATGTTATTCAAGGAGCATAATTCAGTGAAATAAATTCGGAAAGAGAAAAAGGATAGGGACATGAAGAATTCAGAAGATAAGAATTTAGTAGAACATAAAGAGCGGATGCACCTTCGTCATTGCAAACGATTTTAGGTCATGTCATTCAAGGCCTCTAATCATCGGTTGTTATTATCTTGCGCATCCCAACCAGATAGTCTACACCTATCAACATGGCTCAGTCCACCTGTCAGTGACTTCATGGATTTGCGTCACGTTTTTGTCTGGCCGCCCCTAGCTTTTTTCCAACCTACACCTACGCCATAAAACATTGCATTGACATCATGAATACATTGATGTCAGATCACCACTGAAAACTCGGAAGAACTAGATGGCCATTTCATCCTAGTATGGGACTCCTTAGCAGCACGCGTCCAAGACCCCTTACGTGCGATTCGAACCCAGAACCTTCGATCTCGCGCTCAAATGCTTAGACCACTGATCCGGCATCCAAAGCAGGCAATGTCTAACTTCCTCGAACGAAATTATGGATGCGCACTGCTGGAGAATTCCATACTAGGACGAAAAGGCCAGGTTTTCAATGGTGGTCTAACATCAATCGATTCATGATCTCAATCAAAATTGATAATCGTTAGAAAAGGGAATAAAATATAGTCTGTCGAACACTGATTTATTGATAATTCTTATGAGTCAGTTGAAGCTAGACCAACACGGAAAACCTGAAAGTACTGAATGGCCATTTCGTCCTATTGTGGGACTCTTCAGCAGTGTGCACCCATGATCCCGCCTCTCGACGTTCGAACCCCGGACATATCAATCTTGCGCACGAACGCTTAACCACTAGACCACTGAGCCGGCCGGCATCCGACAGTGTTAATGTCTAACTCATGACTCATGATTTCAACTATGAAAAATTACTGAAATCTCCACAAAATCCCCTTCTGATGATAATTCATATAATCAAATGTTACTAGGAATATGTTTTAATTGTTTAACAATCTTCCTGTCATATGTGTATAAGTGTGTATGTTCATAGGTTTTGTTGACTTGTCCAATTGTAAACATGAAACACAACGCAACAGAATAAAAAAACATGGAGGGAATTATCTTGATGGATAACAAAAATGTTAATCAATCAATATAAAACTCATCTGAAATTAGAAAGAAAGAGATCTTTATTTATTTACCCTATCCTATCCTATCTGATCAATAGAATTCGGTCACCAATAAGAGCTTGATAAAAATGACACTGTTTAGTACTTGGTGATCAATCTATATAAATATGTCAGTCATACAGGGGGTCAGTTCATTCCCTGATAGCGAATGAGTAATATATTAGACTGTATCACTGCATGATCACGATTTGAATCCATTATGGAACATCAGTAGCCATGATGATACAAACACATCTTAGTAACGTATTCTATTCCTGACTGGCGTTATATACTACTTATGTCAACATAAATAGCACACACCACACTACTATTGAGGACAATACGGCGAGAATATATTTTATGGACGACCTTTGAATGAATCTCAAGTGACCTTGGGAAATATTAGCCAATCAGAAGACAGTTAGTATAGAGTAAAAATAAATTATACAACACCAAAGAATTAAAGTGAGTACACTTATTTTGCATGGTCCAAAAACTTATCAACGTTAGAAAGAGGTTCAAAGGTTCGAAAATCTGAATGTATAAGGTAGACGAACTCATCCATATGGCTCCATAATACTTGGTCTCTGGAACCATAATAAGGTCACAAAAACTCTCTCAGTCACGATCACATAGCTTCAATATTCTTTGTGTGTACTCCGGTTGTGTAAGTTTGTCATTTTTATTACGCATATATCCCTACAATACTCATACCACTGAATAGTCGAAGCTTCAGTAACATTTGCAAATATTGCAGCCAATAATACTGGTGCTTTTATTATACAATTCGAGGCAATTATTACAATATGCCTTAGTCTCAATCTGGATCGAGAGAAAAAAAAGTTCCTATTCTAGGAGACTTCTTCTTGTAACATATTTTAAATCGAAAGATAACATCATCAGAGTAGTCTGTGCAATGTCTACACGTCAATTGATTACCGCAATTAAAAATAAAGAAACGTCTTAGTTGTCCCATTTATTGTAACCGCTTAATGGTTACGTCTTTTCTAAAATCCTCTGTGAATCGATTGTACATAAGAAGCAGGTACCGAAATTGGCGCTGTGATAGATTTTCGATTTTAGCTCGAAATTCCTTCATCAATAAAATTTTGACATTATAGTTGATGTCAATTCATAATAAGAAACCTAAATCTAATTTCTAACCTTAACTATTAACTATGTAAATCATAATTCGAATTCCTTACACACTGGTTTATAACACCCCACTTGGTCCTAGTTATAGGGTGGATACTCTCCAGATCACTCTTTAGAGTCGCTCAAAGATCGTCCTTATATTATAATCTCACCATGTAATCATTCAATGTTCTGTCACTGTTTATAATATTTCAATATAAATATGTATGGCCTTAGAACAGTCAATTATACAGTCATAAGTTCAAGTTATCATTCACTTAGTAACTAAACATAAAATAAACATCATCTCAATCATTATTTGAATCAACCAAATTGTTACTATCTCATAAGTGAATAAGTTTGAAAAGTGTTACCAGGTTATATTATTAATCAACTCCATGCAAATATAAATAATCAGAAGGGGTTTTGTGGAGATTTCGGTATTTTCATAGTTAAAATCATGAATCAATTGAAGCTAGATCACTATGGAAGTCCTGAAAGCACTGCTTGACGGCCGTTTCGTTCTATCGTGGGACTCATCAGCAGTGAGCACCCATGATTCCGCCTCACGAGATTCGAACCCAGTACATATCAGTCTCACATCAGAGCGCTTAACCACTAGACCACTGAGCCGGTTTTCAATGGTGCTAATGTCTAACTTCAACCAATCCACGATGTTTGAGCCACCGTTCACACAATAGGACGAAACGGCTGTCCAGTGCTTCCAGGTTTTCCATGGTGGTCTAGCTTCAATTGACTATGTAGAATTTAAACCATGGTCATTCAAAACACAAAACGTTACAATTGCGTTATTTGGGGCAGTTAGAGACATCTAACAAACTCTTCAAAAAAAAAGCCAAAGAGGCTATGACAACGCTGTGAAGCATCTTATCTAATCAATATTCAATAGAAGTTTTACCAGAAACATCTACAAAGTGAAAAGTCACATGTCGAGTTTCTGATTGGATAGTTCCCTATACTGCTATTATGTTGAATAGCCTTCCGGAAGTCCATCTAAAATGCTAGGAATACCCTAGAACTTTTTTTTACATCACCAAAGCTTAGAGTAAAACGTTTCTTACATATTTCGCACCTTTTCTCTTGTATTCAAGTCACTATGTAGACTTAGCCTGTGGGTTACTAGAAGAGCTTAGGAAACCGAATCTAGTGTTCAATTAAAAGACTTATTAGGGACACACTTATACTCTTAATCAACATATAGCGCAAAATAGAAAACACGAAATGAAACAAAATTAATCCACTATATATTTCATTTTAACTAACTACACGTTGATTGGTAAGAAACCAATCTGAATATTATACTGATCACTACTCCAGGACAGAGTGAGTTGTAGAATGCTGGTCGGCGGCCTATACTCTATTGGGAGTAATAAGTGTAAGTAAGTAGTAGTAGTCCTTATGTATACATTATACAGACATGGTCTTATTAACATGCTTATCGATTCTTTCATTCGAAACGAAAAAAAAACTTTTAATCAAAGATGGACAGTGGCTAGCAATGGAATCCAAGATGCGTTCAATTCAAGTTAGACCACCAGGGAAAGCCTGGAGGCACTAGACAGCCGTTTCGTCATATTGTGAGACTCCTAGGCAGTGCGCATCCACGATCCCATCTCGCGAGACTCGAACCCAGGACCTACCAGTCTTTCACAAGAGCACTTAACTGATTGACCACTGAGCCGGCATCCGATGGCATTTATGTCTTAAAGGTTTTCCATGGTAGTCTAGCTTCAATCGGCTCAAGCTTTCAAAAATGAAAATTCCAAATCTAAACAAAAACCCATTCTCATAATAATAATAATAATCAAATGCTCACCAATGACTGAATTGAAGAGATATTTCGTGGAGTTCTAGTGAGAAGCAGTGACGAGTGGAGTTGGAACCACGTCAGTTGTGAGATGTCAACTCACTGAACACAATAGGTGAACGGTTGGTGAACTTCGTGGATTGGTTGGAAATAGACATAAACACGATCGGATGCCGTCTCAGTGTGTCTGTTGGTTAAGGGCTGTGGCGCGAGACTCGTTGGTCCTGGGTTCAAATCTAGCAAGCCGGGACCGTGGATTAGATTTGCTGAATAGTCCCATGATAGGACGAAACGGTCGTCTAGTGCTTCCAGGTTTTCCATGGTGGACTAGCTTCAATTGACTAACACTTTGAACTTTGAAAACAAGTATTGACAATTATAGGTTATACAACCCCAACTGACTTTAGTTAAATAACCATTGAAAACTGAAAAGCTTTGGATATGTCCTTCATTTCTGTGTGACACTGTAAAACATCGTATACTCACTCCCACACCAGAGACCGAATCCTAAACCTATGGATTTTGTGGTTAGTACTCAACTTTCAAACCACTGAATCACCATCCTATGGTTTATACTCCCTACCGTTTGGTAACTGCCTCACTCCTGGTACGCACACATACACACAGATCGTCAAAATTTCAACAAGAAGAAATGGATTTATGAATAAACATTCTAGTAATAGATCTTTTATTCTATTTTAAGATTAGACTCGTCATCAATACGTAAATTCCAACTATTACTACTACTATTATTTAGTTAGTAGTATCTCTGAAAACAACCAAAACAACAGACCAGCTTGTTTTTCTTCTTTATGTCATATGTTTTCCTTGTAAATGTGACTTATTACGTCATCAATTGTAAGATAACATTATGTACAATAGAATTGATTGCTTCATTCAATGTCATATGTTTGGTAATGTTAAAGGATTCTAAAGAAAGACTAGAAAATAGTGTAATGAAATACTACGTCAAACCTTGTGAATATTCGAAACATATGTTGGTACATTTTGAAGGAGTTTTATTTTCTGAGATGGACGATTTGGTCGTGGAGCTTTCATCGTTCTTCTCCACACATGGAGAAATTCGAGCTTACTTAGTTACCTACTTACGCTTGTTACTCCCAATGGAGTATAGGCCACCGACCAGCATTCTCCAACCCACAATATCATGGGCTTTCCTTTGTAGTTCTATCCAATTGCTGTTTATTCTTCTCATGTCTGTCTCCATTTCTCAGCGCGATGTGTTATTTGGTCTTCCTATTCTCCTTTGGCCTTCAGGATTGCGAGTGAGGGCTTATCTCGGGACGCAGTTGGATGATTTTCTCAATATGTTTCCTATCCACTCCCAGCGCTTCATCCTGATTCCTTCCTCCACTGAAATCTGGTTTGTTCTCTTCCAAAGTAGAATGTTGCTGATAGTGTCTGGTTAACGAATCCGAAGTATCTTGTGTGGACAACTATTAATAAACACTTTTATCTTCTGGAAGATGGCTTTCATAGTTCTCCACGTCTCCGCCCCATACAGCAGAACGTTCCTGACATTTGTATTCAAAATTCTGATCTTGATGTCGATTGACAGTTGTTTTGAGTTCCAAATGTACTTCAGTTGTAAATATGCTACTCTTGCTTTGCCGATCAGCGCCTTCATATCTGGATCAGATCCACCGTGTTCACCAATGATGCTGTCCAGATATGTAATGGTTTTCAACAAATTCGAACACTGGAATTCAAGACAAAGTTTCGTCCTATTCGAGACTCATCAACTGGATGTACCTGTATCTTAGACTTGATGTTCACTCTGGGACTCGAAGTGGATAACGCGATGACGTGTGAAGCGAATGGTACTGTATTCGAGTTCTAGAATGAACACCAACTCTGGAATGCAGGTACATCCAGCTGAATAGTCCCACAGAGGATGAAACGCGAGTCGTGGATTCTACTGCTAGCCACTACCCTTCTTTGCTTATTGGATGAACTGTTTACAAGAATAATAAAATGCTGTATTTGAAACATTCTACCAAGTACAGTATTACATAAAGTAGGGTAGATTTATTAGTAGCTGAATCTAAATATTAAAGCATAACTGTAATCTTGAGGAAATTGATTCTACCTATAGGATTCGAATACAAGTCATGAAGGAATTCTACCACCTAACACCAAACATTTAGCATCATAACATAGTATATCAGTGGTCGACTTACAGTTTCGTTTACAGAATTAGATCATCATGAAGAACTGAACAAATATGACATTTATCATTGCTCAATAAGTAATCAAATTTATGTAAGATTATACCTAGTAAACGATCTTTGAGTGACGCCACGGTGATCTTCTGAGTGTCTACCTACGTACTAGGACTGAATGAGAGTTATAAAGTAGTTTGAAGAATAAGGATTATGATTCATAGTTGACAGTTACGGTTAGGAATTCGATCTACGGTTTTTTATCATGAACTGACATCAGTTAAAATCTCAAAACACTATTTAGTCAAACGAGTGAGTGAATTTCGCGCCAAAATCCAAGACGTGTTATCTTAAATCTCATTGGTTCGTTCATAAATTATAATCTCACCAATATTTCCTCACACCAATGATCGAATACTAGTAGCCTACAAATATCCTCTACTCCTATCGGCCATGTTTCACTGCCATAAAGTAGAAGGGAACGAACTGCTGCGCAGTGAACCCGTCCTTTGAATGCTAGATGGATATCTCACCTACACCATAAATGACGCAAGTTATGAAAAGGTAGACGAGCCTTCTATATCCGTACTGAGATTTCGTCACACATCAGACCAATTTATAAAACAATCAACTTGTTACTTACCTTCTATAACTTTTGTTGTCACTGTAACTACCTCATTTGTCCTTTCAGTTTTAGTAAGTAATTTTGGTTTCTTTGATTTTGGTATTTTCCCATTATTCTACAACATTAAGAAATAATGGAGTGAATTTCCAATATATATATATATATATATACAACATATATAAATTGAAAGAGAAGTAATGACAAGAAATGGTTACATACTACTTGTAAGTAGTTGAAAGTAATATGGTTGACTTTCATTCGACTTGGTCTAATCAAGTCATAATTAAATATTATCAGAAACGGTTTTCTTGTGGAGGTTTTGTCTTTTCATAGTTGGAAGCATGAGTCAATTGACGTTAGACCATCTGGGAAAACCTGGAAGCACTTGACAGCCGTTTCGTCCTATTGTGAAACTCCTCAGCAGTGCGCATCCGATGGTGTTTATGTCTAGTTCCAACCAATCTATGAAGTTGAGCAACCGTTCAGTCAGTTGACATCTCACAACAGACGTGGCTTCAACTCCACTGGTCACTGCTTCTCACTAGAACTCCACGAAATATCTCTTCAATTCAGTCATTGGTGAGCATTTGATTATTATTATTATTATTATTATTATTATTATTATTATCAGGAGATCGGTTAAGTGCTCTTGTGCGAGACTGGTAGGTTCTGAGTTCAAATCTCGCGAGGTGAGGTCGTGGATGCGCACTGTTGAGGAGTCCCACAATAGGACGAAACAGCCGTCCAGTGCTTCCAGGTTTCCCTTGGCGGTCTAACTTCAATTGACTCACGCTTTCAACCATAATTAAATAGCTCAATAATATGTCCGCAAAAAACATCTATATCCCTGTAGAATGTTTAGTTAAAATGAAATGAACTCATCTTTGGTCATTAGCTTCACATATGAACCGTACTTCAATCTATTGTTAAATGAGAAGCCGACATTTCATTATGATCTACGTTTAAAAGAATCAATTTATTCTGTACTTGATTCACTTAGCAAAGTGAATTGAGCTATGTTAAGTGGTTGGAAGTAGTCATCAGAAAACTCTACAAATGATCAGTAACTACTTGAACAGTTCAATGGAAATTTTTCAGGTTGTAAATTAGGGTAATTTAAGGTTAGATGAAATAGACAGTATTAATCTCCTGATGATTACAAATACAAACATCACTAATTAGTGATCACTTAATACAAAAACGAACTAAGATACATTTCTGATTAATTTTCTTTTCAACAGTATATACCTGTCGGCGAAGTTCGAACCCGTAGCCTTCGGTCTCACGCGAGAACGCTGAACCTCTAGATAATTGAGCCAGCATCCTAAATGGTGTGGCTTTAATCGACTGATGAATTTAACTATTAAATTACTACAACCTCCACAAAAGTTCCCTTTCGGATAATAATCGTCATGTGTTCACTAATGACTGGCTTCAAGAGGTATTTCCTGGAGTTCTAGTGAGAAGATGTGACCAATGGAGTTCAGCCGTGTCTGCTGTGAGGTAGTAACTCACTGAAGACAATGCTGGATGTTGGTTCAATTTTGTGGACTGGTTAAAGTTAGACATCAACATCGTTTGATGCTGGCCTAATAGTCTAGAGGTTAAGCGTTCGTACGCAAGACCGAAGGCCATGTGTTCGATTTCCGGGTAGGGGACCATAGATGTGCACTAAGGCAAAATAACTCAATAAGTCTGACATTTGTTTAGTTGCATCAATTAAATCTTCTATTTTGAGGAGTTTTGGAGTCAATAATATGGCGAAACACTCCATCTGGAGAACAATGCTAGCTATTACGAAACTCTGCCTATAACAATGATGGAGATTGTTTGATTTAAAGTTTTTCATCACAGATTGTATTTAGTTAGACAAATAGTAAAAATCAAGAAGTATTGAGTTGTTTTGTCACTGTATGAGATACATGAAAATAATATCCGACAGGACAGAGTGGGTTGGAGAATGCTGGTCGGCGGCCTATGCTCCATTGTGAGTAAAAGGCGTAATTAAGCAAGTAAGTACAAATCGAACCTACAACATTCATGCCTGTCGGTCAAACCTTAACCTCGAAATTAATTCTAAACTAGAAAAATAAGTATTTTTATTTATCGGTTAAAACTATATTTAGGTTTAACAAAGTTTCTATGGTCTATTCAATTCAATAATAGTCATGCTTACTAGTCTTACTTAATCTCTTTCATTTTCATATTTTATTATTCTTTCTAAAAGAAGCTGATTTTTATCAATCACAACTTCGTAACGAACTGATCTTACTTGAAGTTTCACTGAAAAGTTGGAAGCACTAGACAACTATGCGATGTTAATTTGGGGAAGCGCCTACCTATGAACCTACGAGTAGTCATATCTGAGACTTGAAAGTCTCTCAGCTAACTCATAATTCTTAAACCAACTAGTTAGATGTCCAACGGTACAATTTCAACTGTAGTCATTTTGTAGATGTAACACGACGATCATCCACTGCTGTTGATGATAATAATTCAACTCCTCATATGTCATCAGCACAGTGATGGGAGGTCTTCACATTTCAGAAAAAAATCTATCTACTGGATCCTTACTTTTAATAATTCCATAAGTGACAAATAACCCTTTCTCTTATCTGATAATAATGGATGAATCATATTGTTTACTGGTTAATTCTAACAACATTCCTCCATTGATTGACAGATAATAACAGTACAGGTTTCCCTAACCTAAAAAACAGGAAGTTTATACACACACAAATAGATAATGAATAACTTTGAATGAAAAGTTTAGTTCAGTACTTGTAACGGACAAAATGTTGTGACACAATGCTTTATGACTACTTTCCCCTATTCTTTCCTCTTGACTAATATATAGATATACATACATTTGAGCATGAGTAAATCCAACCCCTATGGTTTATACATATATATATATATAGCTGTTTTGTTCTAGTATGAGATTCTTCAGAAATAAACATCTAAATGGAAACTAAACTTCCAATGTCAATAAGCATTGTCTGTTGGGATCTTTCCATTGATGCTTAGAACTGCAACTGGTCAGTCTCAAAATTAGCATATGTACATACTGTGTGCACTGCCTCGATATAGCCTTAATTCACAAGCATTGTAACCAAATATGGATAGTGGCTAGTAGTGGAATCTAGGACAAACGTTTCGTCCTATTTTGGAATCGTCAGCTGGATGTACATGCACCACAGAGTTGATGTTTACTGTGGGACTCAAACTCAGCACCGTTCACTTAAAACGTCATTGCGTTATCCACTCAGCTACTGAATCCTGATAGCCACTTTCTTGTGTAATGGGGTGAAATTTAAATCCACTTAGTGTTGTGTTTGTTTGAACATCAACTCTGAGATGCAGGTACGTCCAGCCGGCCAGTGCCAAATAGGAGGAAATGTGCGTCCTGGATTCCAGTGCTAGTCATTATCCATCTTTGCTAAACTTTCAATGGTTATTGAACTAAAGTCAATCAATAATGTAATATTACAAAGTAAAACGACATCGACATCTGCCTTAGACGAACAAATCATTATATGCCAACTTGCAACTAACTTAGAGGCCTGATTCCTGTGATCCTATTAAGAAACTATGGTAAGTTCAAAAAGTGTTGTGGTGAAATAAGTATTATCAAAAAGATGAGAATTCATGTAGAAAGAATAATGATGTATATTTCAGTGGGAAGTTTGAATACGAAATATAATTTAAAAGGGATCGAATAGGATAAATTTATTTATTCATTTATTCAAACACATAAATATTGTTACAAAGGGGGCACCAAATACATATGCGCCACACATCACTCCATTTGTAAGAGGGCTGTGATATTGATTTGGTGCCCAAACCGAATCAGAGTTTTCCAACTCTTTTTAACCTTTTTTATAAATTATAATTTATGAAACTCTGTTTAGTTTACTTGACAAAGTAAGGGACCGCATTCCTATAATTGACAAACACATGGAACTCAAAACAACTCTTAAACAATATCAAAGTCACAATCTTCAATACAAACATCAAAACAGTCCTACTGTACTAAGCGGAAATGTGGAGAACTACTACAACCATCACCAAGAAGGTATAAGTATTTATAGACAACTATCTATACAAGATACTCAATATCCCTTGACCAGATACTATCAGCACCAACCTACTTTTTAGACAGGACAAACCTGCTTCTGACTGAAGAGGAAATTAGGAAAAAGATGTTGATAGTGAATAAGGCATACATTATGTAAATCACCAAACTTCATCGCGAGGCAAGCTCTAACTTGTTGTCATCAAGGTGAACTATTAACGAAGCACAGCACTACAAGCCCAGGACAGAGTGGGTTGGAGAATGCTGGTCGGCGACCTATGCTCCATTGGTAGTAACAGGCATAAGTAAGTACGTAAGTAAGTATATTATACTACTGAAAACAGATAAGTGATATACAAAAAGCTATTTTGTTCTTAGATGAGAACAAGTCAAGGAATATTTGTACAATCAATAATACTATGACCGTGATACAATAAGCGATGAAGTTTAATTATTATCAAAAGAGGTTTTGTGGATATTATTGTAATTTTATTAGTTGAGATCATGAATCAATTAAAGCTAGACCACCATAGAAAACCTGGAAACACTGGACGGCCGTTTCGTCTTAGTAGGGGACTCCTCAGCGGTGCGCATCCACGATCCCATCTCTCAAGACTCGAACCCAGGACCTATCACTTTCGCGCGCGAGCGCTTAACCATTAGACCACTGAGCCGGCATCCAACTGTTAGGTCCTGGGTTCGAATCTCGAGAGGTGGGATCGTGGACGCGCACCGCTAAGAAGTCACCTACTACGACTAAACGGCCATCCAGTGTTTCCAGGTTTTCCATTGACATCTTGCTTCAATTGATTCATGATCTCAACTAACAAGACTAAGTTTAAGTTGAGAAATTGTTAAATTGCTCAATTTTATATGAATACATCACTTTTGACCTAATTCTATTGACCAAAAAGATAATATGGATGAATGATTCTTGTTATAATAATTTGATGAATATGTTTTTGAAAGAAAAACGGAAATTGCTTAGAAAACCAAGTCAACAAATGGTTGTTTATAAGGGTAAATAAATCAGTAGGAAA